TTATTTTCAAAATAAGCTGAAAATTATTCAGTAAAAAAATCCCTTGCTTGGTTTTCACATCTTATAAAAAACAATTTCGCAAAAGGATTACAGAAACCAAAACATGGAAAATCTTCGTAATACTCATTTCTGATTAATTTTATGACGTTTTTATTTTCAGTTATATGCAAAATAATTTCTGAGTTTTTGACGGAATAATTTTTCAGGAAAAAAAGTTACATACAAAAACAGACGTAGATTAGCAACTGTTTTTTGTAGCGTAATCACAATGTAGCGAAATGAGCAAAAAAGTTGCAACAATTTGATTACGTTCAATGAATTTCAGTTATTAATGTATAGAGTGGTCTGACAATATTCTGCACTACCGTTTACATATATCATTACTGTATCAAACAACAAATAATATAAAATTTATACAGTTCAGAAAAAATGAAAACTGATTAATTTTATTCACTGTGGACGTACTACTGCAGTAAGTACGTATCTACAAAAATACGTATAAAAGAAGTAAATAAAACAAAGAAAAAGTATGTAAGAAAATAACCTCTCGCAGTGTTAAAGGTGAAAGCGTTTAAAGACGATTAAATATTCATTAATCATTTGAGATTTCAACGAACTTTAAAAATAGTCCTTTTGTATGGAAATGTGAAATTTTTATTGCCTCAGTATATTTCATTAAAAAGTGAGGTCAAGTCTTTTTTTATAGACCATTCATTTCTTCACTCACAACTTATAACATGCATAAAGTTGAATATTAATTTTGCTATTTTAACTAATTAAAAATGCAAGAAAAAAATTTGCAACGATTTTTCTAATTTTCAAAAAACATGAAAGTTTGTAAATAGTAGTTGTTTGCGTAATAATTTGAAGTTTTTTGGGTAAAAAACGAACATTACTAGTGAAATGAGCACTTTGACTTTTTTTAAGTAAAACAGGTTCAAGAAAAGTTCAAATTTTCCGCAAGAGAATAAGAATAATTTAAGTTTAGGCATGGCAAAATAGATCATTATATGCGGTAATTAAGGCCTTTAGAATTTTTATGTGTTCAAATTAAAGTTCATCTTTCAATCTTCAAATTTTAAACAACATTGAGAATAATTTTATTTTAAATTCCATTTTATTACCAAATATTTTTTCAGCGAATTTTTTCACTCAAATCAAATATCTGTGATAAACATAGCTTGAAATTATTCTTATTTGTGATTTCAATAATTCATTTTGGGGCACAGATGAAATAATATATTTACTGTAACATTTGAAATGATGCCTTATTAACAGTTTCTTTTGCATGCAAAAAAGGTTAACATCAAAACTGAAATAATTTAAAATGAGAAGGATGAAATTTAATTTTAATTGCGCCAAAAAAATTTGCATCTTAGAAATTCGTTTGCGTCACAAATAAGCAAAATGAGTAAAAACCGTTAAAATTTCTCAATTTACGAAAAAATATTAATAAAAATAATGAATGATAAAGTTAGAAAGAAAATTTTCAGCGATTTTAACTTTGGGAAAAGTAATTATCATAAGTAATTTTTAATCATAAGTGACTTTCGAACTTCAAAAATCAACTTGTCTGTGATGAATAATAAAATGTGATAATATGGTTCGTATATTCATAAACTTAGCATGTGCAAAAGAAACGAAAGTTTTTTCTTACCATAAATAGAAAAATAAAGAATTCCCGACAGTTTTTTTGTTACTAATTTAAAAATTTTTTAATTTTTTCAAATTATCAATCGCTTCCTTTTTTCCTTAATTACTTTACAATTAATTTTGAATATAAAACGCTACAATTACCAACTGAAGAAATTGCCTCCATTCCAATGCATAATTATTCCCTTTTTGCTTTTACAATTAAGTATTTATATATATTCTGAATATACCATGCTAACCATGATAAAATTCAGCTTAAAAAATATGTAGTCCATATTTATTTCGACATTTTTATTAAGTTCTATTCATAAGTTCAAGAATCTGTCCAAAGACTTGAATTAATGATTTTGTTCACTTGGTGATTTTAATTATGATCAAAGGTCACTGCGCAAAAATAAAGTAATTTGTTGATAAGACTGCTCAAAAAAAACATATTTGTGTAATATATTTTATTATTATATGATAAGAATATAAAGAATGTGGAGGTTAGTTCTCGTTTTCGTTTCCGTATTATATAAATATTATACATGCTATTTATATGATGCAAAATTTATGTTAACTTAAAAAGCGCTATATTTAATCATAATATAGTTTTTAGAAGAATAAAATGTCTATTTATTTCTCAGAAAATCCACAAAAACAGACAATTATCAAAGAAATTCAGAAATATTATAGCACTTTAATTGAATTAGGGACACTTACAGTGTCAAGCAAATATGACAAAAAATATGATCTTAATATTAAAAGAAAATTTTAGAGCAATTTGGCCCTTTATTTTATTTAGTCAAAAATTTGTCAAATAAAAAACATAAATTTAATCGCTAATTTTTTAGAGTTGAAGAAATTATTTTATTCTCTTAATAAAATATATTATAATTTTCTTGTTAGACTTTTGCTATAAAAAACTGCATCATAAGTATGTAAAAACAAGTACTCTACAAAATTTGAATTGCTGAAAAATAGAAAGAATTAATTAGTTACATAACCTAAATTAATCATCTAGTCTGTGATGGATCGAATAATTACTCAAAGTACTCTAAAATAGTATATACTAGTTCTATAATTTATTTTAATGATGCTAAATTCCACTCATTTTCAATAAAGAAACTAATAGTACAGCGGATATGGTAATTTTTCACAAATACGTTTGACAAGAATCACAATACAGAATCATTTATGTATTCTGCAAAATTTGAATCATATATAACTTAAGTAAACAACGCTTGTGTAGTCTATTCAAATTAATAAATTACCTAAATAAATACCAATGGTTGAGCAAAATTAATAGTTCACACGTATTTCACATGAGGCAGAAACCATAAACACAATTTGGATTCCAATCATAATCTCTTCACTTACAAACTTCTCGAATTAATCATTAATTTAGCTTTTAATAAACGAATAAAAACTTGATTAAGTAAAAAACGAGAATGAAAATTAAATAAAAGTATTAATGAGTATTTTCTGACAAAAAAAATGTAATTTTTATATATTTGAATACAATAATGAGTTAGCAGATTGACTTTTTTGCAGCACTGGTTGCTAATCTTTATCTGTGTCATTACTTTATGATTATGATGGCTTTTTATAGAAAAAAGGAAACATTTTTAAGAAAGAATAATTTTGTTATGTTTCCCGTGATATCTCAGGAAATTTGTTATTAAAATTATCACAATACATACTGCTGCAATATTCTGCTGGCATAATTTTAAATTTCAGCATTCCGTAAATACATTATATTACAGAATTTAAACATTGCAATATCATTTATACAATCAAATTTTGTACAATTCTTTAAAATCTTTTATTGATCCAAAATAAATAATCAAATTAGATTTAGTGATTTGTAATGCTTTTCCTAATAAATAATGTGATCCTAAACTATTGAAGTTCAAAATCATAGGTAAACATTATAAGATTTCAGTGTCAAGAACATCTGTTAGGAAGGTTAGTACATATAAGCAATGTTCACTTTAACAAAACATCACACTCGGCTAAAATTTGCATTCATAAAAAGAGGTTCCTGAGGTTCCAATCTCTCAAACAAGCTTTAAATTGCAAATAATTTTGGAAATGGTCTTCAAAGCTCCTAAAGTTCTTCACCTAAGATTTACTTTAAATCAAAGCAACTTCATAACGCAGTCAATCTGAGATGATATTAATAACACAACCTGCATTTTATATCTTTTTATGATGACTATGTTAAATCTCGCTCAATGCAAATTCAGGATGAACCACTTTTTTAAAACGAAAACTTGTTAAGCACCTACATTTTCAGAAAAAAGCCGGTGCAAAATCAAAACTCAGCTTAAAGTTTCTCATAATTCTTTGAAAAGTAGGCTCGTGTAATAGGAGTTTATGTCTAGCATTAGAAAATTATTGGAAAACAGAAATTAAATTTTTTGATAAGTAATGGAGTTCGATTCTAAACGAAGGAAATCTTTTCATACCAGAAGGTTAGCAATGTCATATGAAAGTCTGCCAATAAGTGATCACAATATCTAATAACTTGATTTATTGTTTATTGCGCATAGAAATTACAGAAATTAGAGGTCTTATGAACATTTATTCAGTAAAAGTATCCTAACATTAAGAATCCCTGAAATTTGAAAAAGATGCAACGAGAGATTAAAATCAAGTGTTAAAGAACTGTCAAAAACATCAATTAAAAAATTTACAAATATCTCAGAAAAATGTAATAGTAATAATGTGTGAGATTTAACATTCATAAAAATAAGTAACAGAGTATAAAGCAAACACACAACCTACGAAAAAAGTGAAGGGAATGAATTCCTAAGTGTAAACTTGAAGCTTTTTTATGGGCTCATTGTGAAAGAATCAAAACTGTATATTAAGAAATAGTGCAGAAATGGAAATAAGATAATGTAATGATAAGAAACTTATGGAGTATGAAAGTCAGTGAAACCTTATTGATGAGAAAAAAAGGATTAACAACGTCTAGGCATTATAATAATTGACTACAATATTGAGTACTTCGATAACTCTTAAACAAAACTTGCAACATCTTAGTGCTGGAAAGATAACTGAGTAAAAATATAACTCAAAGTAGAGGTGATATTTACAAACCTTTATGACTAAAAATTATTAAAAATTATGAAAGCCTCTTGAATTATTTTACATCATGGGTATAGAACATGAATAAGAAATGTAAGCAATTATAGTATTTCAAGCTCAAGTTTCACAATGAATTTGAAAAACTGTAAAATAATCGACTAGACACCAGGTGATTAAAACAATACTGCCAATGCACGATTTTAGAGAACGTCACTAAGTAATAAAAGTCGTGTCATGAACAAGACGACGCTGAGACAAACAATTCGAAAATGTTGATCAACAGAAACATCGCAACTGAACCTAATAATGATCCAACCTAAAATAAACTCTCTTACATTGAGAATCAAATACAGTAACGCATTTTATCATATTCAGTTCTTTGTATTCATTTCTACAGCTTTGTTCTTACTGCTTCATCGATAATTTACAGCAAAAAAAAAACAATGAAATATCAGTTACTTTTAAAAAACGCTCTAAAAAATACAAGTAATGGATTTGCAAGAAAATAGAAACATTTATTAAAAACAGAACTGTAATCTGATTTTTCTAGTACTTGAAATTTCAAAAAATTCTTACTTGCATACATAATCCACCCCAGAAGAGTCGTGTTTCATTATTTCCTTCACCTAAAACTGTAGCCAAAACAGTTCGGAGAAAAGAATTTAATGCGAATGCGCAAACTGCGATGCTTACCTGAAAAAAATGACACAAAATTAGAGCTCCTTCTTATATATAACTTTATCACACAGAAATAAAACTTTATATTTTATCTTCTTTCTATTACCTTAAATCTTATCCTTCACTCTTTGACATATGGAAAACTAAGTTTAGCACTGACAAGAAACAGCTCTTTATCTCTCAACAAAAAATTACCGAAAAAATCAGTTTTGATAAAGTCAAAATCTGTCGACTGCTTAAGAAATTATGAAAAAAGTAAACTTTAATGAAAGAAAAGAAATTTCTAAACTCCAAAAACACAATAAAAATGAAGTTCAAACAAGATATTAACACACTGCAATAATCGGTCCCCATACAGAAGACAGCAATATGGGCGTAGGACTCATTGAAGCAAGAATGATTACAAATCCGGTTAGTACCGATGAAACTAGTGTTAACGACACCAATACAGACATGCTTGAAATTGTCACAACCAACGGCAGGAAGCAAATGATAGGAGATATAATGTTTTCTATAGTCAAACCAAAATGATATGTCTTCTGCAAAAACAGTCAATTTCTAATGATATCCATTTACTTTGCAAATAAAAATAATTAATATTCTTAAAACAAAAAACAAGCAAATTTGTACCAAAAACTCGGCGAATCGAGCACGAAATTAGTACTAAACCTGAGAGTAAGGTAACGATGCATAACTCTGCACACTTGGGATTATTCCATTCATTTGAGCACTTACAATTGCCAGTAAAAATAATGATAAACCAAAACGAAAGTTGCGGACAAATGTTCTGCTTTCGTCATTAACCGCTTCAACGAAATGCTAAACTTTAGGTTGTAACAGAAACTGAATCTATGACACAATTACAAACACTAAATTCTTTTTTTTGAATTATTTTTCATACAGACCTAAAAAGTCTATGTAAGAGTGATACAGTGAATACGCTGTCCAAAATCAACTGCTTACAGAAGTTTAAGTTTAATAAAACGAAAAATACAAAGACATTTTTAGACAACAAAACAGCAATCTAATTAATTGTTCTAAAAGTTCAAACGATTTAAGACTCATATTTTATCATTAAATATGAAAAATGCAAAAACAAAAGTCGACTAAAAAAGCTGATAAGCTTTGTTTTCCACAAGCCATAAATTGTAGTGAAAAATAAATAGACTGAGAGGTTCCAAAACTATGGATATATGGAACAAATGAATAGATATACTAACATTTAGAGCGCTTGCTTCTCTAACTCTAGGTGAACTCGATTCCTGTACTGCTACATATGGCTTCTCAGAAGAAAGATAATCAGAACCATCTTTTGAACGGTCAAGTAGTATAAATGCAAGGGTTGCGAGGAGTAGCCATCCAAGCATGATACAGTTATATTCCATAATACCGAAGTTTAAATCACTCTTCGTTCGTATAGCAGTCCCATTTACAACTACACACTCGCTTCCACTACCAATAATACAAAAGCAGTGAATTACTAATAAGGAGATTAAAATAAAATGAAATCATTTTTAGAAGCTCCACAACGTTAAAACTGATCATTACGATGTGATATAGGAGAAAAAAAAACCTTTTCTCTTATATAACATCGTAAACTTCTCCTTTACGATACATTATGATTTCAATTCGACAATAAAATTTACCCCAACTTATTCCTAATAAATGAAATTAACACTTGAATAAACTGCGATTTTGAGAATATCCTTTGGGAAATTCTACAGAAATATTCATATTTCATTACTTAATACCTCAATCTACAGAAAGAAAAAGTATTAGAAAAAAGAAACCTTGTAGAATGGAGACCAAACTTGGAAATAAAGCACTTAAGCCCATACCGACAAAATATGCCGTCAAATAAGACGGATGAAATGCCGCCATATAAGGCATGAAAAGAACATTTGAAGTCCCATTAACTAGTGCCATTCCTGAAAGAAAATTAGATTTCTGAAACACCTAGAAATAACCTTGCTTACGAAAATTCTATATTGAGCACTATAGGCATTAGGCATTAATGTTAAAAGAGGTATTTAATCATTACCGATGAGCAGAAAAATAAGGTATTTAATCAACAAAGTTATTCTTTCTCCAGCACAATAATGATAATATCTATGGAGGAAGCAAAAACTGATATAATTTAATCTTTTTAAAAGCACGAACCAAAAAGCAAAACCATTAATGCGACTGATCGTTGCTGTCCAAAAAGAAATAAAGTTTTCGACCAAAATAAAGCCATCAATAACGTACAAATAGAGCAAAATATCAGTAAAGAAAATATTACAACTGTTGCAGAGGGAGAAAATTTCGAGTATTTATAAATTATACCGAAGACCAATGAAGTACCACACGCCAGATGAAAAATAATAAGATATAAAAATGATATTTTAATGATGAACAACTGCGTTGGTATGATTTAAATATTCTCATTACTTGTTACTAGTAAATATAGCTAATCATGTTTAATACCAAGTAACAAGAGCTACCCTTTAACAACCAAAATTAACCATGATTATGAATTTCATTAAAAACATTGTGTACAATAAATTCTTTGAACTACATCTTGAAAATTTGCAGTTAATTACAAAACATGTGCTGCTAACTAATTCAATTAAATAAGAAACTATATATTAAGCCTTTCAACTCATCACACTAATAATAAGTTTCTTATTAGATTAAATTAGTTAGCAGTACATGTTTTGGAATCAATCACAAATTCAAAAATTCACGAAATTTGAAAAAAAAACGATACACTACAAATCCCATACATATGCTACTGAAGATTTGACTTTTTACACAATCCCCTACATCACATGAATTTAGCATCACCTTTACCTTGCTTATTTAACTTTATTACAAATATTTCACCTAAATTAACAGCGTTATTTTAAACATTTCGAATATGTTCAAATATAATGTAAAGAATGAAATTATACGAAAAATTTTCTATAATTTAGGACAAAAATATATGATTTATTATTTAAATTTTACCTGAATGATAACAGTTAGGTATGATGGTAAATTCCATCCTTCTGGTAACTTATCGGTAAGCAGTGGCAACTCCATCCACAACGAATCTGTACTTAGCCAAGATGTGGAGCCAAATAACATGACGCAAATATAAACTGATATTTTAATACCCATCACTAATGCAGGTAAGATGGCACAAAAAGAAATGCACACAAGCTGATTTCTGAAAAATAAAAATTTCTAATATAACAAAATTAGATATTACCTTCATTATGATACAGCAAATTAATAATTAATAAAATAAATCGCATAGCACAGCAAAGCTTGGTTGTGGTAATTTTAAAGATTTAACACAATAAATAAAACTTAGAACCATGCTTATATTATGAATCATATTTACAAACAAAACTAATGAATAATCTTTTGTATATTTATACTGAAAACTATTATATAAAACTTGAAGACTGACCAACATTGCATTTTTAGCTTGAAATTGCACTATTAGAAAAATATTACAGGTCTTCAGGCAAAAAATCACAATCAAATGAGATGAACATTGAAATCAACGAAACTACTATTACTGACTTCTTAGAAACAATAAAACAAACTGAATTGAAAGCTAAAACTGAGAAGGTAAATGATTCTACAAGTAAGAGTTCATTCAAAGCACTAGAATTTACAGAAGCTGAAGTTTACAAAAGTTCGACTACACAAAGTAAAAATCAGTTAGTGCAAAATTCTGGGCTAATGAATGACACAACAAAAGATTGCTTGCTAATTTCTGTATGCACAAAAAGTTTTCTTGTTTAATTGCAAAGTTTTTTAATTTTTGTCTAGAACAACAACTGACTTGACCTTAATACGAATCAAATAGTTCATGAATTAGACCTCGCAAATTCTGTCTAAATTTACTAATTCAAAATTTAGAGGAATTTTTCTAAGAATCAATCTTTTTCTACAATCTTATGCCATCTTCTTCATTTTCCGTGTTTACTTTCAAAAATTTCCACCTAACTTTTTAAACCCAATTTGTGGTGATCTTACAAACTCATTTAGATCTTTCAAATATCTCTCTGAAATTAATGAATACATATTTATTACTTACATGTCATTTCAGTCCAGAATAAAATATTTAAAAAGATTAACAGTTATAGCATTCAAACAAATTTTGAAAATTATATCGTTAAGTGATCAATAAAATAATACTTGTGGGATTTCTTGGAAAAGTGGCTCTTGGGGAAGACAGCAAATTTGATGTGCGATTGCACAATACTCACAAATAATAGGCACTAAGAACAAGAGCAAGTTGAAGGAATAAAAAATTAGAGATCGTATTTTATTCTCAGAATTTGATTAGTATGCTTTAGAGATCAAAGCAGCATCGGATTAAAACCATTTCAGTCCAAGCACAAAACATTCATGCAGCTTAAAGTGTAAAAAAGTATGCGAAGTCTAAGCATAAGAGTTTGCTAACTAACTACTATTTCAAACTTTTAAGCCAATAATGAATTTCATACACAAAATTTAGCAGTTAAAAATGCAAACAACATAACTCAATAAGTAATAAAATATAAAGGTAGCACAGGTAAGCGACAAATAACCCTTGAAATCGACAAAGACTCATTTTTAAGTAAGCTTACTTAGCGTGTACACAAAAACGTTAAATGAACTACTCATTTCCAAAATGGCTGTTGACAACAATTCCATCCTTTATTCAGTGGACAAAATACCGTACCCCACTGTAATCAACCTGACGTCAGCACTACTAAAAATAACGTCAACATATACATTATTAGATATGCTAAAAACTGATATATTTTTTTGCATGCTATGGAAGTGCAACTACAATCTCAAAATTTAAATAAAGTTGTCATTTCTTGCTACAAAACATTTTAATAAGCATGCACTCTCCACATTCAATAATAAACTGCTTCTTGTTGTGGTTGTTATATCCGTTGAGAACTACACGATTTAAAGTTGTGATACAGAGTTTGCCCTTCATATCATTTTTCTTTTTAGAAACTACAATTACAAACAAGCTTCAGCACATTAGCTCGATTCACAAGCATGAAATCAGATCTCAACTATCGTAAAATGTATTTATTTACTGAAGGAATGCATATGCTTACTCATTTCTTGTAAAAAGTTCAGCCTAATACTGTGTCCCTGGTTGATTGAATGTATCCATTTGATCGACTTCGTGAGCAAACCTACATGAAACCATGTGAATCTGCAATACCACGTCTGATTGTAATCGATGGTAGTAATATCGCTCGCAGTTCCTGTGGAACTGATCGTGAGTAAGTCAAGTGTGTATCAAAACTTTCAAACATCCTCACGTCTAGCAACAAATTTTGCCATTAAAGATACTTCACATGTGCAGAAATTGTTATCACGAAAAGATGTAATGACAGAAACTACACATTTATGGAAGATTCAGAATGAAAACTTGAAAGTGACAATAATCACAAGTACAAAAGTTAGTCAGGATTAATAATTGTATAGCTGAGAATCCGTATTTCACTTAATATTAAATTTCCGGGAATGTGAATTGTGCTGGTTTAATGGCAACAATGCGATTTTTATTGATTAGAGATTTGGATGTAGTTGTGTTCTTACCAGTAATTTACAACAATAATTACAATTTCAACGCAACAAATGCACAAGTTCTTCCGGTTTGTGGTTTCGAAACTACAGAAACTGTAAACATTTATAGCACAAAATATTCAACTTGACTGATTATGCATATTTTCTATGAATCAGTCATAAAGGGTAGAATATCCATCTAAACACAAGTTATCCCGTAGCTCAAATCATTTGAATTTTTACAAAAGTATGCTTCGGTGAACTGTTCGTCTAAGTCATTGACTTCCGCATCTAGTGTCTTCTGAATTCCACGAAATTCTTACACAAGCTTTCAGATAAAATACATTAGTTAATTCAGGAAAACACCATTCACCAAAGTTAAGGATTACAAACCACAGAAAAACTGATTATTTAGAATAATTTTACAGAAATTACGAAATTTGGATGTACTAACATTCACCCCTGCTCGCGCTGCACGTTCCGGTAGGTCAGCATTCATTAATTATGATGACTTGTATATCCTGGAATTTGCGGAACGTCACGGAGGGAATGTATTATCTGGTGATCGATTTTACGACATAGCCAAAGAATATACATATCGGTTACTGAAATTTTTCAAAAACTTCACTGCAGTGTTACATTTAAGTAAATTAGTACATAAATTAGCAACAATTTTTGTTATAAAAAACTAGTTAGAGCTTAACAGTAGATTAATAATTGCAGTAGATCCCTTATTTTAATAAGAGTCAAAATACCTTTACTTTACTGTTTAACTTTTACCTTCTTCATAAGTATTATGAGTAGTTATAAGTGAAAAAAGTTTGGCTTCAGCGATTATCGTCAAATTATTAAAGAACGTCGAATAGATGTAATCTTCCGTCCACTGGATGCTGATTTTGTTGAATATGGAAGGGATCGTTTCTTTCGTTTCCTTCCTGAACTTCGTGTCTTACGTATAAGTTTTACAATTCAGAATGCTCACAATATTTTCTTCTATTTATCTTATTAATTTCTCATCCTTAGGTTTTTATTACTGTTCATTTTATTTAGTTTAAACGAAAATTTTAACCTAAAAACCAGATTTACTTCCATACACTAATGTCCAATTTAGTTTCTCTATCAAAAGCAGTGAATAGAAATATGTGATGTAATCTTAATTTCTAAAGTACTTCAACCAAATAAAACTCTTAGATGGTATCAACAGTAGTTTGTCTGCTGATGAACGAATGCAGCGACGTTTATACTGCCTACCAAGCGACAAAGATTACAATAAGGTTTTTCACAAATCTATTTATATTTTTAAGAAAAATAAGATTCAGTTTGAAGAGTAATGTTTAAAAAATCACATACAGACTGGCTTATCGACTTTCCTACACAATTAATCACATCGCTCGACTTTCAGCTACATGATTCATTAAGCAATAAATTTTTCAGCCTTTATACCACCATAGGAGGTCGAAATAAAAAATTGCTTAGCTGGTTGTATTAAATCAACGAACACTACCGATTTTAGGTTGTTCGACGTCGGGAATTTTGGACATCCAAAAGACGTGATGAGATTGTCAGCGCAATCGATGTGTTGCTGGATGAAATTGCGACAAAGAATTGTTTGGTTCCGAAAATAATACCTGTTCAAATACCATCGTCCTCAAAAACTGAGGTGATAGAAATTAAAAACTCTTCACTTTAGAGAAAAAAAAATCAAATATTGCCTGTTCTAATATATGCTGTGGAAATTATTTTCACTGAAATTGAGGAATATACGAAATTAAATTAATAAATGAAACCACTTGCTGATGAAAATATACTCGAAAGAAACAATTTTTCATGCTAGCAGTGAATTTGAGAATTTAGGATTTGTTTACAGCAGAAGAGATATTGTTCACTACTAAAACAGTACAGGAAGGCAGTAAATACCAATGCTTGTCCCCATGTACATAAAAGAAATAATGTTTAGATTTGCATAAGTTATGAACTTGAAATAGATAGTCCAACCTTATGAATGCAATACTCAAAAATTTTTCTCTCCAAGATATATCTAATATAGCCTTGCGGAATGTCATATTCTGGTTACTGATAACTGAAGTTATGCGTGCATACTGATGAGTTTACAATTAAGAAACATCATGAATATGAGTATATATTCAGAAGTCAACAGATGAAGCGAGTAGTGCTAGTTGCGCATCTACATCTAGTGATCAAACAGACTTCATGGACCCTAAAGTGTTAACAGAACGGTGGCTATCACCACCAGCTCAATGTAAACTAACGCACGTAAATAACTCATGCGGTAAAATTTTGATTTTATTAAAAGAAATATATTTGATATGTAGTATAGTAAGTTCACTTTTCAAATAATATTTTCTTCATAAAACGTTCTAAACTTCCATTACAAACATTGCCTTGATCAGTCAAGTTTACGACACTTTTGCAATATTAAACTAGTCTAGAAGTCTGTTTATTGAAATAGTAACTCGTTATTTAATGTAATTATAGAATCTGTAGTTCCTCCAAGGAGGAAATGGAATAGAAATCGCAAATTAAATGTGGTAAGGAACAATCGTTAACTACACTCAAGCTTATCAGGTCTTTTAATAAGATACTATACAACGTGCATAAAGGAAAGAAATATTATTGAATTATTGACGTGTTTTTGATCCGAATATCAACAAAATTAAGAAAAACTGGAACTTCGAAATGTCTAAAAACTTCTGTGGTAATACCATAAGTAAATATATCGGTGAAACTCAACTCTTAAGCTGAGATTCCATGATACTTGATAATAAATGACTACCACAAAATTCTCATAACAGCATGGGACTATCACTACTACAGTCAACAATAAAACGACTACCAGTTTCTACTGTTAACGCATCTATTAGCACTATAAATCATTCGGACCAAACTCCTGACTGCCAGCTACTTATGTACCAAACTCCTGATTTCCAGCTACTTATGTACTGAAAAAAAACTGCAACTACCACCCTCTACTGACCCTTGTGCTTAGACAAGCTTCTACAATTTACCGACTCTTCCACTTTCAAATCACCTCAGAAGTACTGACTTCAATAAATTTGATGCTTCTAATAACAGAGAACTACGCACTTCCTACCATATCAACAGAAATTTCGACTATTATTGAAACAAAAATACATGCAAGGTAAAAATGAACCTGATTATTTTTCTGTACTCCATGCATTCAGTTCAGAAACAGCAATAATTATTTATGCGAATGCTATATCTCGCTTTTCAAAATGCCAACTCCTCTATGCATCCTAATTTCTTATTTTCACATCACTAATAATAAAGTTCTTTACAATAAGTATAAACTTCATCCTTCGTTCCTGTTCACATTTTTCGTCACTGAGCACTTTTTTTAAATAAAGTAATGTCTTATTTTTTTCTTAATTAAGAAATGTCAGCTATTAAAAACGAATAAATTGAACAGATAAAGATATACATGTATATATGTCTATGTTACTGAAACAAGTACAGGAAAAAATGTTGTTGAAAACATATCTTTGATGGAAGTAATGTAATGTTGCAATATAAATACAGTACAAATAATGAAATTACAACCGCTACATTACAAAATAATTCGTATAAATAGTTTGCACAGAAAGTGATAATAAATTCAAAACACATTTTATACTAATGGAACACCAAAGTGATGGTAGAGATTCTCACAACTGTTCTGTTTACAGCAGGTAAATTTCTTGGTTTAGAGTAAGAGCAAATGTCTCATTTATGAACAAAATAAACATGGCTTTAGATAATTCAGTTTCTCTTTATCTAGCTAAAAGTTAAAATGCAGCTTATGCAACTAAGATATTCTTTAAAGTCACTTAAGAAGGATGGATACTGTAAATAGAAACACCTAAGTGAAATTTAAAAGTTATGACACTAAGCAGTTCATATAGAACAGAGAACTGCAATTTTTGAGCAGAAAAGAATTCGAAAGAGTTGGGTTTCTTAACTCTAAAAAAAAATTATTTTTCAACGATTGCAATCCAGCAGCAAACTAGCTAGAAGAACATGAACTGCTAATACTACGATCACGGCGCTCACGTCTACGTTTTTCGCGTTCTCTGGAAACCAAAGATCTAAGAACTTCTACATTATATTAATTATCTAACACCTAAGAACAAAGTTAAACGCATATTGACACTTTAATATAAAGAATTCAATGAAACAGCACTTGAAGACTGTGCAAAACATTCACGGTTTTCGATTCATACAAATTATATGCACACTAATATTTATAATACTGAAAAACGTACCGTCTTCTCATTTCCAGTGATTCTTCAAATAGTCTTTCTTCGCGCAACTATAAAATAAGAATTGTTAACAACTATAATTCTACCAAAAATTTTCAACAGTTACTTCCCTACCAAAAATAACACAAAAGCCTTTACTCTTCTTTCTTTCTCATGTTCTTCATGCTTTTGTCGTTGTTCTTCTTTCAACTGTTCAGCTGTCTTACGTAGTGTTTTTTGCATTTGAGAACGAAGTTTGTGAGCAAGAGCAGCTTTCTGAAATATAATATTTCACAGCTTACAATCAATGCATTAAGAATTTCAGTGAAAAATATTATAGCACAGGTTTCTTTCAGAAAAATTTCCTGTTTGTAAAAGTAGCAGAGAAACATCTTACACGCTCGGCTTCATCTTCTGAGAGTCGGTCATAATTACTACCATACTGTTGACTGAAAATCATTTATAGTTCACTATAATACTTATTTCCCGAACTAACTCAAATTATTGAAAAGAAGATAGTAATGAAATGAGATAAATCACATTTTCAGTAAGCAAATAAAAAAGAATAATTAATATCATTAGCAGGAAAATAATATCTATTCCTTTTCAGAATGCAACTTTAAAAAGAGGCTATTACACTGTTAACTATTAAACATCAGAAAGACGTATATCAAAAGGCTATAAATGTTATCCTGCTTTTAATACGATTTTTATGTCAATGCTTTAAAAAAGCTAAAAATCATGCTGCTATTAGATTCTTTGTTATAAATAGTAAAAAATTTTGACAAAGTTAAGGAAGTTATTAACTACCCATCATCATAAAATGTAACAAACCAAAAGTTTTGCTAACATCATTAAATTATAAAAAATTATCATTAAATAAATTCATCTAGCGATGTGACTGAAAATCAACAACCAATGAAAAAATTCCGAAATTGAAAATTTTAAGACCAGATGAACCAGAGAATGGCAAAACTCGCCTCTTAAAAATGAAAAAAAGATCGTTACCGGTGTTGTTTGGCTGTTCGTCGTATTCGTCTTCGTCTATTTTCTACTTCAATACGTTCTTTCTCAGATTCACTCATACTTGAATGAATTGCTAACGGTGAAGTATCACCATCACTTCTCTTTGGCGAAGAAACTGAATTTGTAGCCTGAAATAATCACTAGTTAGGCAATTAATAGTTTTAAAAACAAAGTAAGAACACACAACTAATAATCATGCTACTGCTGACAGGAAAACGAATCTTGACATACAGAGCCTTATCAACGATTGGTCTTCTTAATATGGATTGAAAAACACACATATTGACTATGTATGAGCTGTATAATTTAAATTTTGTCAAGACAAGTTAGTTCCAAAAAATGAATCAAACGTAATTTTTGACTAAACTACATTGGAAACACATTTGTCAGAAATTCAATTAAATGAAAACAGTATTATATAACCTTCTTCTCAGAGACTGGTGGTAGTGAATGATTAGGATCACTCGAAGACGAATGCCTTCTGCGGTGCTTTCGAGATTTTTTATCGCTTGATCGCTTTGAACTGAAATGATAACAAATCTGAAACCCTTATACTGCATAGTTATGGGATTTAAGCATGAAAACAAAACTCCTTTTTCATTTTTGCTCGTAAAAATATGAAAAACAAGATAATAATGATGATAAAAATTTTGAAAAAAAATCTTCAGAAAATTAGCAAATACCTATCAACATCAACTTTTTGACCAGTACGCTTTTTACGACTATGATAAATTCGAGAACGACTATGTGCGCTTTCATTGCTGCTTGTACTTTTTCTACGACTAAAACAACTATGAATGAACAAAAAACTCAATATATCATGGACTTTTTTCCAATAAAAAATTAGAATTTCTGGCTCTACAAAAAAGTTTTTTTTTATCATTCAGAAAACAAATGAAAAGGAGAAAATATAAATGTTAACAAGGACGGAAAATTTTTCTGATCAAAAATATGTTTCATACTTTTGAATCTGTCAGAGAATACTAAAGACTCAGATGAAAATTTCTATAATGTTGCCACCTTAATCTTATCTTAAATTCTTCCCGCCTCTTATCTCTATTTCTCGCACGGCTATTATCCAGTCGTTTATCCCTGCTAGAACTTCTTCGCTTTTCTCGGTTACTGTTATTTCTTCGCCTTTTAATGACACTTGAACTTCTTGAGTCGTCCCGTCGTTCTCGACTTTTTGACCTACGCGATCTCTCCCGGCTTTTCGATCGCGCTATACGTTCTCTACTCCTCGAACGCAGTGGTCGCCTTGAAGCAGGGGATCTGCTTTGAATACAATTTTTCGAAACATTTCCGTAATCTTCAGGACTTGACGAACGACGAGTTTTTAATTCACTGCAATGATAAAAATTAAGAAAAGAGGCTCGTAAATTTATGAAATAAATAACTATACTAACTACATTTCTGGATTCTTTGATATCCCAGAGAAAAATAAATTACAAAATACGCCGAAATTCTGCAGAAGGCAAAGTTGGACCAAGCACTTTTGGTTGATCATCATCATCTTCTTCACGTTCTGCATCTTTACTTTCGACACCATCACCACCAAATGTCGTAATGAATTCCGTCCTTCCTTCATCATCTTCTGTCGATGTAGATGAAGATCTATACGATACATTTTGAACAAAACGATTAAGAATATATTACATGTTGAATTGCTTAAATCCTCTTCATCGTTAGATAGTGTTTGGGATCTGTCTATATTGCATCAGCAATAGGTAAATGATTAAATTGAATGTTTTAATTTTTTCACCAAAAATTTTTTTTTCACGAGCGCAGTGATATAACTTAACTTATGCAACAAATCCCCTACTGTAAAATTTAAGTTACTTGCAAAAACTAACGTTTCTAAGTTATCCTTCTCACTTTTTGTAACGAATGAGAGCAATGTAGTTGTAGCTTCTTCATTCAGACAACCTTTACCAACAATTAGAGCACGTTTCTTCTTTAAAACAGCTCGTTCTGCCTTTGCTTGGCGACCCTGAAAATGGTCGTGATAAACAAAAAAGCACCATCTTGACAGAGATTTAAACAACGTTACAGTAATAATGTTCTTGATGTTCCATAATAAGGAAAAATAAATTTAATGAGAAAACAAAAAACTGCAAATTAAAACTAATTAAAATCCACAATTTTTAAACATTCACTGATCACTTTTTTAAATTCTTATTATCATACAAAATCTACCAAAAAAAATCTTTGTAACATACATATTTTGTGGCAGAAAGCAACTAATGAAGTAAATGAAGTGAACTTAAATTATCAAGCATGGTTTTCAGATGGACCGGTTCTCACAGAAATTTTTTCGAAAAAGACGAAAACTATTAAATAAATTAATTACAGACAGCGAGGGCTAGTTTCGCTTTTTCAATCTCTTTCAATTGATGCGTTTCATCTTGCTCACGACGATCCATTTTCAATAAGCTTGAAAAAGCACCCGAATTAATACCATAGCGTACACCCAATTTATTTAAATTTCGCCGCTGTTCTGCATCTAATGTGTCCAGATCTAATTTGAAATCTGCAAATATTTTTTTAAGCAAAATGATCTATATAAGACCTAACTACTACAATACATAAAAATTTATTTTACTGTGTAGGAATTTTGGATATTCATTTTGAATTACTTCTATCAAATATTTGATACTAGTCAGGAAGCTTTTTCAAACTGCAAAATCATTTTTATTCGAGTAGAAAATTGTTAAACTCCAACCGAATTCATCCGAGTCAACAAAATCATCATCGTCTTCCGATTCATCTGTTTCAGCAATGCCACATTGTACCGTTTGAGTATCATCATATGTAAATCCTACAGCCGCTTTTTTGTCACGACTGAAAATGATATATTTTGAATATGTGAACCAACAGATCTCCCTTCAATCTCAAAATATATTTAATAACAGCTCTAGACATTTATGTTGAAACCTCAAACCAGAAACTTAAGTATTCTGAAACTTGAAAAAATCAATGGTAACCACCACTATTTTATAAACAAATACGATGAAAAACTTGACAGAAATTAAAATACAAAGACCAAAAATTTTAATTAGTAGACAAGTGAAAAATCTGTAAAAATCAACAATAAATTTAAAAAATGATACAGAACTTACAGCGACTTTTTCTTTTCTTGCTCAGCACGTGCTGCAGATGATGAATTAGACTCATCCGGCCAGAATTCTTTTGCCGCTATTTCTTTTAGAAACGTTTTTTCTGACACTAAAAAAGAGAACCACTAGATCTTTAATAAATATTACACTCAGACGGAAACGAAACTCTTAATTTTATTCAGTGATAACATCTGTAAAATAAGGCATGGCTCACTAAAACCTACACTGCTGACTATTTAAATGCCAAAAACAATTCACTGCAACCGTATCTAACCACTTCTTAAAAAAGTCTCTTACTTGAAGATTAAGCAATCCTCATGATGTAGAGCATACAATTAATACATACCTCTATCAAATTCGTTGAGAACAAGGATTCGATACCTCTCATATTCGCACTGCAATTCTTCGACATCATCTAGTGATCTAAAATCAACTATTTAGGTTAACTAAACTCTAAAACAAAAATTTTGGTTAACGCTACTAATTTCCTTAACTTAAAATATCCTCAAAAGACTCTGAGAATAATATTTGATAAGTTATCCTTTTATGGAACAATGAAAGAGTACATACGTTACTATTTTATACGCTATTGTATTAAATAAAAGGATGCCTAGACTCACAGCTTTAACAAAAGTTCTAAAATCAATTTAATGTGTGGTTTAAAGAAACCTTAATCAACGTCCATCAATAGCTATCACATGCTTTCAGGCTTACACAAAGTAATATTAATTGTAATGTGACAGTGATGAAGTAAAATACTAACTTATGTTGTTTTTCATAATTATCGACTTTCTTTTCGGAGATATGATCCATATGTGCCCGAACATCAAATCGATCAATCAATATGCTAGGATCACCCTGCCATCGTCTCCTAAAAATATGAAAACCAAAGTTACAGAAACTTGTAAAAAATGACATTCAATACATACGACTCCACAAATTTAGTGTCCTGGAATATAATGCAAAGTTGAAATATTTCATACCTTTTGGAATATTTTGACTTGTCATTTTAAATTGTTATATAAAAAATTACCCAGACTAAAAATCGAAATTTATATTCATTACATCTAGGGGATTAAAAAAGATAAAATCCTTATTATTCAGAAATTAATGCTGATAACAATTTTTTTTGAGGAAACGCACCGTTCATACTAATTTTTCTTTGATAAAAAGACAGCATATAACGAGATCCAAATCAGGAAATTCATTAAAGATTCGGTAAAATTCAAAACCAATGAAGAAGACATAAGGAAAAAGTAGCTACAGCCAACATAAACCATGATGAGAAGTATGCTTTAAACAAAAAGATCAGCAAATTACTAATGTCAAACGCGCACAGGATGCTTGATGCTTCGGCAGCACGTGCTACTGCCGGATCCATATGTATTTGACATTTTCGACCGTGAACTTGCATAAACTGCTCCGGATCCTTCCTCTATAACATTCTTTACTAAAAATTTGTTATGGAATGAAGTTGGAAATTATGGTTTGATTTTTACAAAAATTAAATGACTTGTTGATTAGGCTCAGAAAAGTTTGAAAGACTTAAGTCAAAGTGAAAACAAATGAAAGATGCAAAGGTCATCTACAACATCGAATTTTTTCCTTCGCAGCAGAAAAATAAGTTCTATGATCAGTTTCAAATCTTCAAACCATGAAAGAATTCCAGTTTTTCATGAAAACTACATAAGAACAAATGATACTACTATTATCCAATAATTCAGCTATCCATGACTTCAGCAGACAAAGATGATAAAAAAGATACAAATTGCAATAAAATAGTCGAGACTATGTTTCTATGATTCCATCAATATATCGAGCAAATCCTTGCTCGACAAGATACAGATGACAAGAAACATACCACATTTTCATAGAACTGTTTACGTCGCTCATTTCGTTTCACGTTATCAATCATTTGTGAACGTATCAATTTTTCCTGTCGACGAGCCTCATGCCACATGCTCACCCCTGTTACTAAATATCAACCTCTGTAATTTGTAGCATAAAAACTATAACATCCGACTCCCCGTCCTATTATCAGTCTTTACAGACAAAAATCATCACAAAAATATTTTAAAACGAAAACTCACACCACCCTCCACCACCAATTTCAATGTACAAACTGAATGCCAATATAGGCTTCTTATGACTTGAACACAGACATATAAACTTATTGAACCCATTAAACTAGGAATGTTGCCAATAAACTTTCTTCTCACCTTTGCTGCAACCTCGCCTACTAATTTCCCTCCAGATGCATTATGCAAATACTGAACAATAATCTTAGAAAACCTTGTAGCAGAAAATTCTCTAAGCTATTTCTAATTGAACTTCCTCAATAACGGTTCGCCCACAACAGAAGAGTGCTTCTGATAACGAAACTAAGTACAATCACTCCCGAACCTTCACACATACCGTAATAACTTTTATGCAACAATAAAATGCAATTCAAAAAACGGTTGTGACATAATTTTTACACATGGAGAATATTTAATGTAAATAACAATTATTTATACACTGCAAAAAATACTATGTATAATTCTTTATTACATTCGATCTTTTTAATTACAGATATGAATACATTTCATGCAACAGAGTAGCATCATACATGTCACGACAATTAAAACAAATTGTAGTATCTGATATCAACAATTTTACTATCTCACGATATTTCAGAAATCCGTTATGGACTCTAGACTGCAAATAAAATACGGTTGGGCGAGGCAAAAAATCATGCTGTTTGATACCCAACATTGTTTTCCCAACGACAGAGAAAAAAATACGATTGCACTGTCTGCTATCATTTGATGATTTTCTCCATGATTATATTTATGCTCCAGATTATAACTAAACGTTATAAAGTAAAACCATTCTAGATATCACTTCATTTTAATCCATTTCTAGAGAAGTTTTTCCGTCCTCACCATCAATCAACTGCCTTCGAATAATATTAGAAGCCCGTTCCAACAACTTTTCTTGCCGCAGTATAGCCTGATCATAATCAGCTAGATCCTAATAATGCGTTAAATTACTAACTCTGATATTGTTTTGATTATTAAATTTAAAATGTTTTAAAATACAAAACTAACTTCAGCAAGAGCTTGTTCTGGATGATTCAAACGCCATTCGAGTCCTACACGCGCGAATTCACGAGTCAAATCATGACAAGAATCTTTCAACTAATAAATAAACTATTAACAAGAAAAATTAATATTTCCGAGACTTCAATGATACAATGAATTGGCTCTAACTATAAAAGTTTGTACTTAGAAAAATGAGAATTAACAACGATGATCAACCTGACGGATTGCGCATTCAGCAACTTCTTTGATATGTTCTAAAGTGGGTGGTACATAACCCGTTCGTGCCAGCAAATCATTTACTAACTGCGACCACGACAAATGTAAATTTGTCACAGCTTGTCCCAGCTGTGTATCGGGAGCATTCTTTGCAAATATATCATTCACTTCTTCACTTTTCTCCTTAAATCACTACAAATACTTCTTAAAAATTTTTTGTTGAAATTTTCGTCAAGTTTATGGTAGTGAACTGCGGCGATTTACATTGCTAACTGAACCAAAAAAAAAAACAATTTTTACTATGAAAACCAATTATTTATGAATTATTATACGGTAGACTGTCCCTTTAATTAGAAACCACACGGAGAAAAACAACATTTAGAATTGCAAGAGAACAATTTCATGAAAAAACAGTTATCCCTAGTGACGCAAAAAATGCTGCTAACTTATCCAAGCATTTATAAGTAAGTGTGTAGAGTGAAATCATAAACGTAAGTAGGGATAAACTTATAAGCAGCTCATTAGAACATACCATAATTAGGTTTATACGGAGGTTGCGACCTACTGTGGATAGAATTGCTTGACATGCGCCCCAGTTTAGGCTATTTTGAGAATACTTTGTCAAATAATCAGCAATTTTGTCAATTTTTTCTTGAATTAAGAATCCGAAATCAATTCGATTTCCTTTGTTCCTTGCGCGATAGTATATGTTTCATTTGGAAGAAAATCGGAATCCTGGAATGAGATTTTATAATATAACTGATATTAAAGATTAATTTATTGTAATCTTTATTTTTATTAAAGCTACAGTCAAATCTTAAAAGCTGAGAGCTCACTTTGCTGGGCCCTGGAATCTCACTACTTTGTTCTTCTTCCGAATGAATCTTTTTCCCTGAAGCGACAAAACTGCATTAATGAGAGAACAGACGCCATATTCAGTGATAAGAAATAAATACTATTACCACAATTAAAAAGAGAAATTACAGAGCTGATTCTATAACTTTTCTTGTAAATTGTAAAAATTCACAAATAACAATTTATGAAATTCAAATTTCAGAGCCAACAAATGAAACAGTTAAATGATGACAAAGAGGAATGAACTCATAATGTAAGAGACAAGTAATATCTCACAGCATAACATGAAAAACATGTTATTTCTAAAACGTGATACAAAAGTGTTTTATACTTCAGATATTAAAAATTATGCATAATCACAAATTTTTCGTTTAAACTATCCTCTTACTTTTTGTATCAAATACCGTTGTATAAAAGAATCTTGTAATCAGTAATTCTAGACTAACCAGACCAAAACCACCAGGATACCTAAGAAAAGTAGATAAATATTTATAAGACTGCTAGTTTAATAAGTATTCGCTACATAATTACAGTAATCCAAGTTTGCACCTTAGATCTTTTTCAACTGAAAGAGCTCTATTTTTATCAAAATTTTTGAAAAATCAAACCACTTAAAGCTCACATCAAGCATTGTAGAGCAGATTTAGTTTTACGAATATTTTGAATTTAATTTTGCATTTTTAAAGGTTTTGTAATTATGCATTTTTACAAATTAATCAGCACCAAAAATATTCAAATATAAACCCAAGTTGAGATCAAATTCTTTCCCACAAATTATGTTCGTATTTTGCATAAATATTTCCATCTTACTTTTTTCTCCAAGACAAGTGCCTTGAATAAATAATTAAACAGTAATGGAATGCATAGCACCTGCGATGCGTGATAATTGAATAAAATATGATTCGATTTGGATATTTTTTAGGAAAACAAATTTTTTGCTAAAGCTCAAAGTTGGCAAAAATTATGTCTTACTATGGAGTTTGGATTAGATCGATGAATAAATATGCAGAGAAAAAGTTTAAATTTTGATTGAAAAATATTGCCAAGCAATAGTATTCTTTGTCTTTTGATTATTTCTTTTTTGATATTTTTTGGTTAAACACAAATTTGTTTTATAAATCAGGCGAAATTTTAAAAAAATGCTAATTAATGCTTTGTGAATTAATTATTTCTAGAATAGTTATTATTTTAGTTATTTTAGAATAGTTATTATTTCAATTATTTTAGAATAGTTATTATTTTAATTATTTTAGAATAGTTATTATTTTTCATACTATTGCACAGGATATATTAAAGGAGGAATTTGATGGACTCAATTTGTAGCATAGTATAAGTTTGAATGGAGCAATAAAAGCTAAATATAGCAATTTTTTTTCCAAATTGCAAAAATATAATAATTTTTTTTAATAGTAATTACGTGACACTTTCGGTGGCGACTTTTCGTTGATTTACGTAGATTCTGCTGGTTTATTTTGGTAATTCATGCAGAATGACCAAGTTTGAAATGCTAATCTACCTAACCTGTCAAAGTTTAATTTTTAGCATTTTGAATTCGCAAAAAAATTGGCAATTATAATGCAAATAGCAACGAAAAATTATTCAAATTGTTTTAATTAATATTTTAGCAGATAAATGAAGCTTGAAATTGGCTTCAAAGCAAATCCTTTCAAGTGCATTGTACTGCTCAATTGCATTGAGAATTATGCTAAAATTTGTTATGCAAATTATTATTAGTAAAATATGTTTTTTCGATTGATTTCAGGCTTATTGTGCAAAAGTCACACAGCATATGATGCGAAATATAGAACTTTCAGTAGATTAAGCTTGGCATTTCATTTTTTCCGCAGAATATATCCTAAAATATTTGTAATTTATCTGATTCTGTAATGACTACTTCTGCTTTTTACATCAAACGACATTTTTTATTTCATTTTTTTGCTTAAAATGTTCTAATTTGTGCTCTGAAAGTACTTTTTTGAAATTATAAGATTGTTTACATTCTATTCAAAATTAACGCTACACTTTTATATTTTTGAGTAATTACTAGAAACAGGCATTTAATTACTTCTTACACTTAATTCTAAGAAATGAAAGTTTTCAGTTAGAAAATCTTGCCTGCAATCCTGGTTATCTTCATTTTCAAATTTCTAAATTTGGGACCAATTATAAAAGTTTTTTGCAATATTTGAAATTGCTATTTAATTATTTGTAATTTTGTGACTAAATTATGTTTGAATAACTTCAATTTATCTATCTAAAACCAAATTTAGGCTACAAAATAAAGAGTCATCAATATCCTATGATTATTTTTTCTCATTTCACTATAATTATTATTATTATAACTAGCAAAAATTATTAGCTATAAAATTGTTTTCATATTACTAATAGAAATTTTTAGTGACTTTTAAACGTGAGCAATTGAGACTTATTATTTTAATGATATTTGGTTACGTGTATTCAGATTTTATTGCTTGAAAAATGAATACGACAACTGAGGATAACTGGTACCATAAACCCCTCAGTTCTTCTGATATTATTGCTGGTGGATTACTTTTTTGCTTTGCAATAATATTTCTATCACTTTATATTTTCACTGATATTATCTTATATCGCAAGTCTAATGTGAGTTTTTATCAGCTTATGAACTTTTTCTAGCAATTCTCTGAAAATGCAAAGTCTGCTTTGAGAATTAAGTTCAAAAAATAGTTGGCAAAGTCTTGCTAAGTACAATTATTATTATCCGTTTTATCAATGGATAATTTGAAAATTTTTCTAACGCACATTGTTTTCAATGATTAATTATTACAGTTGGACGAATTTTCAAATTTGTAATTACAAAATTAAAAATACTGAAAATTCAGTTCTCATCTAGTAATTGAGTTTTTAATTTACAGATTATTACGGGTTTTTACTTTTTGCTAAGTGCGTCCATCGCTAATATATTGTTATTACTAAGTTATTCTCTCTGGCCAAGTATTTTTATCTTATTCAAAAAACATTATCCGGAATGTGGGAGACGAATATACCAGGTACTATGTGACAAATCCCTTAGTTTTTTTCTTGCAAATTTTCAGAACTCAGCATTATTGGTATTGGGATTAATACTTGATCAATGTAATTAATACTTGATTTTATAGCATTGATTAAAAATTATTACAACTATTCTAATATATGAGCATTTCACACTTATCCATACGTCAATTACTATAAAATTATTACTCACTCTCATTGTTGCTAAGCGTAGTATAAAATTAGCTGGCATGTTTATTGCCTCAAATTATATAATGAATTGTGCCCTGATCAGTGTTTAGTTATACATGGATTGGATATGGTTCTCCATGTGCTACCACATTCCGCTCATCGCATGGACTCGTCTTTCAGCCATCAGTCACCCATTAAGATTTCGTCTACAGAAATCGTCTTCAATTTATATTTCTTGCATTTTGTGCTATATTATCAGCTTTTTACAAGTATTTTTTATTACTTAAGAAAAGAACCAATTTACAGATCATATTTTTGAATATTTTCTGAACTTTGAACTGATCTTTGTTATTAATATTTGATCAATTTTGATAATTTATCGTGGTAGTTTTTGTTTGACTCAAATTTTACTGTATATTTTAATGAAAATATTTTTCACTTAGACCTTTTTTTGTTATTGCCTCCGAACAATGTAATTAAAACTAATATTATTACATCTTTAAAAATCAAATTAAACTTGAATTTAGATAATTTTGTAATTTTAGTAAAATGTAAATAACGAAAGTCAATTTGCAGTGTAGTATTTGCATTACTTTCACTAATTTAGTAAAGCAATGATTTATCCGGCACATATTAGCATGAACAGATTTTTAGAAGCTTTTTGCACTCACTAAAATTTTGTAATTAATTTTATTCAAAATGAGTAATTTTGCTTGTCAGCTAGAATTTTTTAATAAATGCCATGTTTTATTGGATCAACTTGACATTTTCAATAATCTAAATATTTATTGAGAATTGTTGTTGTTTAAAATCAGGAAAACTTACCTGAGCCATTTGCATCGAACATTAATTTATGAAAAAAAAATTGCAAATTGACTTTTTGAATAAAATTGTTTTCTAATTTTAATTTCATTTATTTAATAACTTGAAAATTATGAATCAAAATTCAAAAATGTAAAAATAAAAAAAAACTTCGTTTTAAAATTTTTGCGATTAAGATTACGATAATCCTTTTTCAGTCTATGATAATCTATTTTCAACCGTGGTATGTCACTTTTTATTACGAAGCAAGTGCATATGGTATGGTACCAGAAAATGTGGAACAATATTTGAAAGGTGGCAAATCAATGTTTTTCATCATATTTCATTCAATTATCATCGGTACTGCATTTATTTTTTACAGGTTGAATTTATTTTTCATCAGTAATACAAATTTTATGAAGAATTACTTGCAATTAATCAAGCAGTCAATTAATAAATTTAAAATTGAATCACGTAAAGAATCCGTAGAAATAAATTGTACCGCGAAAAATGTAAAACTGCCATGTAGGTCCTGTTTAGTAACCTGAAAAGCCTTCCCTTCTCACTCCAAGTACAGTGCTCTTCACATCAACTCTTTAATTATTGCAATTATCTTCATTTGTTTTTTTTTTGAAAAAATTGAAATTGCAAGTAATTTAAACTAACTTTTCATTCTGTCTTGCCAATATCTGACTGACTAGTGAGATAAGACGAAATTAGCTATTCACTAAGTTAATCTCACCTTTTTAAAAAGCAAACTAGCTGTTGATTTTTCTAAGCGCAAGTACTGAATGACTTTAATTATGTTGTTCACGTAAATGTCGTAAGTTTTAGCTTAATGACAAATAAAAATTGATTAACATTTATTAGTCAAATATACTGCAGCTTCAATTGAAGTTAATGTAAGACAATATTATTTTTTTATTTTACAGTTTACTTGCAGTATTGCTGTATTTCTGTTACTCAAACGTCGTAGACGCCAAATTCGAAATATCATATGGTCAACTAATATTTTCGCAAGCTGTAAAATGTCACCAAAATCAAATCGTGTACCTTCATGTACACGTATGCCAAATTCTATGCGAATTGAAATAAAGTATGTGTTTCAAACTGATCTTATAGATCAAATATGACATACTATGCTTGTGTTTTTTTTAATAATATCACCAATTATGACGTAAGCATAAAAGGGTCACGTTAAATTATGTAATAAAAAATGGTCAGCAACAATATCCAAATTTTGATACAAGTTTCATACTGTAGAATGTTTTTGTGCTTATTTTACACAATTTTAGTTTATATTATACAAAAAATTTTTAAATCGAATAATTTATAAGATTTGTTGGCTCTATTCATCTTTCTTATTTTTGAACAAAAACTAATTGCTGCAAAAATCTTGCACTGACATGTGCATATATTTACTTACTTTAATCCATTTAAGGAAAATTATATTCTCATAATAATAAATAATTTGCCATTTCTACTTGCTCGGAATTTCATTTTGTAAAAAAATTTTGATCATTTTTTCTAAAAACAATTTTCAAAACTTATTACCAACACAGAGATTAAGATAGGACTGAATTAATGCTCAAATTCAGATTAATCTCACCATGTATATGCAGTACAGTCATATTCATAATTGGTCAAATTGTGATAGTACATGGAACTGGCAAGGGTCGCTGGGCAACTTGGCTTATTCTCGTACTTTTCACTTTTACGGCTGCCATCGACCCCATTTTATTACTTATATTTTCCAAATATATAAGGCAAGTTAGCTTCACTTTTTTATTCATTATTTTTTGCAGATTTCTAATTTAAGTTCGAAATTCTTGAATAATTCTTATTATAAACTTTTATCTTCATCAAAACAGTAAGGATCATTTTCATGAAAGATCATACCAAAATTGATCAACTTTGCCAAGTAAGTGAAAAGTTCACGTATAAGATTTTCAGTTGTAAAAGTCTAAAGCAAAATAGTAAAGACCTTATTCTGCTTTGTCATAAAAATAAAACAATGACCATTAATACAAAATCATACCATTCAGGGAAAGTGTAGTAGTGATGTTGCGCAGCCGTTTCCTGTGCATTAGAAGATGTTCTTGTTCGAAATGAAAGTCTCTTCTGGATAATATAAATAATCATATCAAATTTATCAGTACATGAAAACTAGCAAAATATTTTTCATTGAAAGCTCAAATGCACATACTTTCATTATTTATGATTCACAACATGTTTTTTATGCGTATTATATTCAAGATTCATATTCGCTTACTTTTTTTGTACTAAACAAATTACAGTATCATCCGTACATGCCAAAACTTTGAAAGTACGAAAAAATTTTCAGATATTCAAAATATTATTTTTCATATACATAAATATGAATAGTTTTATTGTTTTTAATGACATAAACTGTTTTTATATTAAAACTGTTAATGAGAAGATTCTAAAAATAAATAATTAAGCTGATAAAAACATTTAAAAAATATAGATTTCTGTCTTTTTAGCGAATATAAAACATTTTTGGAAAACGATCTATTTTGCAGCACATTTTTGGTATTTTAGTAAGTACGAAGAGTTGTTCTAGACTCTACTCAAATCCCTCTCACATATTTTGAGTAAATCTTGTGAAAATCACAAAAAATCGAATGAATTTATTAGAAAGCTTTTCATTCTTCTATCAGATTTGAAACGAAACAGATGTCATTGTTGCGCACAATAGGGGAAATTAATTTGCCAATTTATTACTGAATATATTCAAATATTAGCTAATATGCGATTTAAGAATGATTGCTTGACGACAAATGCAAAACTTTTCTGCTAGAAAGTTTGCAGTTCTAACAGTTTGATAGACGCACTTTTGGAGTTTGACAATGCCACCAAAGTCAGTTGCATAATTCTTATTAATATAAACTATTAATTTCAGTCTTATTATTAATTTATTAATTGTTGTAAAATAAAATAAAATTTTTGCAAATATTCAAACCAAATTTTGGTATTACTGAGTGATTTCCTTTGGAGAAAAATAGCTGTTAGAATGGGATTAGAATTGTATTTGATATTAAAGTTAAGTTAATTATCAGTAATGTTTACAGTATTGCAAAAATAAGATGCTTAAGTAATTGTGTTATACGAGAAGAATTATCTATAAAAGTATACACTTAGAGTTAAAATATTTTATCATGAAAAGACGACTACTTTGTGAAAATATTTATACTTTTGGGAAACAACAAAAGTTACTTCTATCAATCGTCTTCTTCTGTATAAGCTAACTGTACTTTTTAACAGCATCTTTCTTGTCATTTTTCGCAAGATTATTATTAATAATAAATAGTACTATTTGTGAATATTTATAAAAAGCATTCATGAATATTAAAGGAATAAAGTTTATTAATTAATTGTCGTTATTAATTTTAATAAGTTATAATATTCCATAGATTTGTATTCTCACTGCATCTTCTACGGCGGTTTCCCATCTTCTTGCAATCATCGACTTTAATTCATCGTTTGCATTTGAATTCAACAATGAGATAACAAAAGATAGGCTAAAAAAATAGATTCAATATAATTATTATCAAAATTATGGAAAAAATAAAATTTAGAGAGCAATGTGATAGTTATTCAAGAAATCCTTACTACCATTTGTAAAAATAGTGATGGCTTTAATTATCGAATACAAAGTAATGAATGATATGATGTTGTCAAATGATAAAAATTGAGCATTATACTTTTGTTTTCGATAGCTTATGATATGATAAGAGCATACAGTGTCAAATTATTTACCTTTTAAAAACTAACGATTTATGCAGTTGTAAAAATAACTCTTGTAATTCGCGTATATTAAACTGAGGTCTGTAAAGATCTACTAATGAATAATAATAATGTCGCAAAATAAGCATATAATGTTGACGTCTGATTTCTGCTGAAGTTGATGTGATTAACATAAATGTTAGATCTTCGCAAACATTTCCAATGTGTACGTCCTGTAAATGAAATTAGAATTAAACAAAAATTCACAAATAGTATAAAAAATAATATTTGAAATAACAAAATGATAAAATTTTTTGCAAACATTTAAACCAAATTTTGGTATTAATTAGTAACTTTGCCTATGTAAAAAAATTACGGCTTTTAATTTGAAATTAGTATTGCTCAATTTTTTTAATAATAAATATTTTATATGACATAATTTATGCTTGCAAAAGCTTTGACTATTTTAACTGGCATATTTACAATTCTAATTTCAAGAATTCTAACAACAATAATGCTAATTAACAGCGATGGAAACATTAAAAAATTTTTTTTTGGTATTTACAATGGTAAACTTTTGTACATTTTCCACAAGAAACCTTGAATATTCAAACAGATTTCAAGAATTTTGCAAAAGCACAATAAAATAATACTTTTATCTGTGCAAAGATTTTACCTCCCAGTTTGAAATTCGTATCAATAATCCATCTTCAGTATAAGTTACTTTGTCATATGTTAGAAAACCATGACACAAGACATGATATTTTTCGACTTGAGATGCTCTAATCGAGAAAGGAGGTTCTGAATTAGTCGCATTTAATGCTACTCGAAGCTTACACAACTGAAATAGAATAAAAGCTTGATACCTAAAAGAGCCATTCACATGAATTAGCTCAAATTACAATAAGCATAAAATCAGTTATTAAAATCCTTTGTTTTGTTTGTTATGAAAAAACTCATAAAGTTAAAGAGTGTCATAAAACTGAACTAATAGTGAAAACAACAAATGAGTGATGAGAAACCATCATATAAATTTGTATTTGAGATGCTAAGAATCTCACAAAGTCTTGAACTGTGTTCGGTTGATGAAAAAACTGCCCATATTTGATAATAAATTCGTTGATATCTAACTCATTATCATAATCAGTTTGGCCGTGAACACAATGCAATACTTTGAAAGTATTGTTTTGCATTCGACGCCTTGATTCTGGATCAGATTCATTTAAACAGTGAGCATGTAACTTGCTTAATTCAGTTACAACCTGATGATATAGATGGATTATATTAATAGTGAGAAATCATATATTTCAATACAACAATTTGAATTATATTCATATTAATTCACGTATAACTTCAAATGTGACATGCAGACTTTTCATGCGTTAGTATAAATTCATCAAATTAACTACTTGAACATCTATCTGTATCCTTTCAAATCATATTGAAAATATATAAAAAGGATGTTTAGATATCAAGAAAGTAGGCACTTGCAATATATCATTTAATGTTAATGTGTAAATTTGTCCAAAGGAATCTGCAACTTGCGACATAGTAACCATGCAGTGATAACAGCATTCTAAGTCCTGAATTTTTGTAGTGAACACGTAACTATCGATTGGTAAGTTAATTTTTGCGTAAGTCATTTTTTCATGAAAGTAACGAAGGTTACAATATGCAGCCTGAAAATTCATAAAATTTAATATGGACTGTGAGATTGAAAGAAATTCTTATGGCTCAAATTTTGATCAGATGCGAGATTAAAACAAATTCTGAACATTTCAAACCATTGAGTATTCAGATGATTTCTTGGGTCCCCTTGATCGAATAGCAAATAAAATCCAGTGAGCAGAATCAGTATCACCCTGTAAATCATTTTTGTTGGTTCAATCTTAGACTTAATAAAAATTAAAAAAAATTTCCACAAAATATGATTAAAATATTGATAAATTGTTGATTTTGTTGCCTATTATCTAATGAATATCTGTTAAGTACAGTTTTTAGTGTACATATACAGCTTACAGGACAAAATAGCATTTTATTTGTTAATTTCAGTCAAAAGATAATTAGAATTAGACGGGAAACTGTCTTGCCTTCAATGTAAAACTGATGATTCCGTTACGAGTAAAATGAATATCTGTAGCAGTTGGATTCTTCAAGCCAATCAGTTTACTCAGTACGACTGTTATATCCATCATTTAAACTTTATAATCTAAACTTTTTCAAACAAAATATGACTTAGGTAATTTTTGAAAATAAAAATCGATACATCTATTCATAACACTGTCAGAATCAATGTTCAAAAAACCAAAAAATTGAGAATAAGCATGTAACAGATTCATTTACTTAGTTGAACTGCTTGGAAATCATTAATTTGTAAAAAGATTCTCAGCTGTTATCCCTCTCAACAAATTTCTCCAGCTAAAGAATGCTAAATCCTTTTGAACAGCCATAATAGGCAGAAAATTTTTAGGTAATCAAAATTTATGTAGAGAAAAAAATCAGTTTCAACATTCATTTTAACAGTAGTAATTTATATTCTTTTAAATATATTACTGCAATAGCTATACATTGCTTATTTGTATTATTTAAAAAAGCAAAAAACACTTTAGAATAAAAATGAGCGGTCAATTTTTATCAAAATTCGTAAATTAAATGATTTTTGACTGTAAAACAGTGATTGATAAGCATTTTATCACTATGTTAAGACTTTTTCCTTAACAAATAACATTCATTGCTTCGACTGAAACCACTAATAAGTATGCAAAGAACTAAAAGTGAACTTTGAACTTTATCATCAATACACCGATCAACAGCATGACTTGATGAAGTCAGTAACAATACTGAAACCATCATTTGTTATCTTAAAGCTTTTCACAGCATAAATGTAATCTTATGACAAAATTGGCAAAAATTATGCCAAACTTTGTTATATTCAATTTATATTGAGCTTTGACAAAGTTAATCCCTTAGTGATTTTTGTGCTAAGCAGAAACAGACCGAGTCAAAATAATCCGTAAGTTAAAGTTAGTCTTCAAATAAGACCCAAATTTAAATGTCTAAATTGGCATGGAATTCATGAAATTAGTAGAAGGCTGGCTAGTAAAATCATGAAATTTAATGTGTACTTTTTCAGAATGACCAAACAATAATGTCTAATTCTTTTCGCTTAAGATTTAAATTTGAAAAATTCTGCAATTCGAGTCACAATTTTGTAAAAATAGTAAGCATAGTGTAATATTTTGCTTGAGACTGATTGAAAATCTAGCCATTGATCTAGAGCAACGTTTTGTTGTAACTCATAAATCTCGTCCTTTTTAAGCCAGTACTGCTTATGTTACAGTACAGTGTAATATATATCATAAGGCTTTTCGGTATTTACGTTTTGCTCGGCATTCTTTTCAGCTGTAGCACTGAAAAATGAGTTAATATTTATCTTCATGACTGTAAGCGATAAGATGCTAAGTATATTTTGTAGAGGTAAAATGTTTACTTTCAGCATTGTGTTACGATATTGTTCTCTTAATTTTCTATACTCAAAAATAGTTCATGAAAAAAGATGCCTTTAAAGTAATGACCTTTCACCTTTTTTTCATATATGAATGAAAATTATACTGTAATTAAATATGCAAAAATATCAAAATTTTTTGCGATATTTACCGAAAAGCCTTATGACAGTATTTACATATGTGAGAGCAGATTATAGCAAATGTTAAGAAATGATTTGCAAGTAAAGTAATGATAACTCAGAAATGCATTGTTGTGCGAAAGAATTTTTCATTAAATAAACGTTGAGAGTGAGTTAGTCCCTTGTACGAATGACGACGACTGCTTGCGCTGTTGATCATTTTGCTAGGCGAAGATTCATTCCTTGAGAAAGACAGAGACAGACCGACACGTTGCAATGATTTATGAGCGTTATTTGGGGGGTTGAGACCATTTTCATTTCCAAAAAATGACTGTGTGTGTTTAGAAGGTTATACGTAGATCAGAAGAGATTGTATGTATGACAGACAAATTACTCAAATAGAGAAACTGACGGTAACAGCTTGTAATCGATCGTAGAATAAGAATTTGAAATCTTCATACTTGTTATTTACTTAGAAAGAGCGCAAGCTACATTACATTAAAAGCTTCACAGTAGTAATAGTCATGCAATCCTTGTAGTATTTCTAGCAGATAAGATTTACAAAAAAATAAGATTCACAAAAAAAATAAATGAATGAAATATCACAAATTTCAGATGCACATTCTGAAAAAAAAGAAAAGATCTTTTTTAAATGACATAAACAGCCCATAACATTTTTTTAGAAGAAAAGTCCTCTGCAATTCTTCGCTTTTATGCATCGTTGTGATTCTGAAATTTTTCGTTTGAAATTGGATTGTTCTTGTACTGTGTGCAGTCAGTGCTTCAAACTACTTGCTACACTACACTTAATGTATAGCATTTCTCAGATATCTAAACAACTGTGAATTAGTCCAATTAACCTTTTGTGTATAGTTTCGAGCTTAATCGAATTGACACAAACAGTTAGCTTTGGTTAGCTTCTAATCATATCTTAAATTACCACATTATTGAATTAAAACTAGAACAGTAATAAGCTGACTAATTACATATGACACAAGTACTTACAGATGCCTACAATACAGAGCATAAGCGTGAGAATATAAGTAAAGTCTTTTAAAAATTTGCAAGTATGCAATAATAATCAAGAATCTATGTACACAAGTAGCCAAAAATTCGTTATAAAAATTACAATTGAAATATATTATTTAAAAACACGCAAATCTATCTCAAAACTTTTGCGAACCATCGAAACACATTAAGAAATTCGGTCTGTACCGTAATGAAATATAGAGACGCATTTAGAATTATATTCAGTGACATAAAGCGTAACTTGAAGATGTAATGAAGCTTATTACTATGAGATACAAAAAACTGTACTCGCAACATTCCACACATAAATTTGAAACCTTCAAACAGCACATTCACATATTATCATATGCTGCTCACTTAACTCAATAAACCTAAATATTTATTAATAAAACATTGATAAGATATAGCATTAATCAATAAATAACTATTTACAGCAAATGTGAAACACTGATTTATTTTTCGTTTATAAGCGAAATCAATCCATTCATTCATCGATTAGCTTCAGTGTGGTGATTATAGATTCGATGTGTTTTGACAGATTCGAGGGTACTTTTTTCGTTTGAGGAAAAGAAGTCTTGCAATGAGAAGAGAATGAATAAGCACCGAACAGAAGGGACTAGCAAACATACCGTTCAATATCGTCCACTATTGATAGAATTTGTGCTAAAAATTTTTCAAACTTTATTTTTATAAAGTAGAATTATTGCATAAAAAACACAATACATGAGATGAAAAATAAAAATATTACATCAATAAATCAATAGATCAATCATGTTAGCATAGAATAAATTTCATTAGTCTTTGATCAGAATGTCATCTTTAGCAAACAATATCTTTCAGCAAATAGTGAATTGCTATAAAGTAACGAGATAAAAAGTTAAAAAACTTTGTAACATGCAAACGGAATTGTATATGTTTGTTCTCTATGCAAAAATCTGAAATTTCTGTTCGAAAAATTCTTCACTTCACTTCATATCAAACGTGTAATTAAGCGATTACAAGAACGTTGTAATAGAAATGAATTTCAGGATGGCAGTGATCGCTTTACTTCCATTACTTTCGATACTACTTTGCATTCTGAGGGTAATTTGATATTTTCCGTGCTGTTTCATTTTTGAATCAAATTTTATTCAAGTACATTGTGTATGAGTGGATTAACGCCGGTGATATCTGATAACGTTATTTCGCATGCTAAAATTGTCCACTGCTTCTATTTCAATTTGGATATAGTTACACAACTGGCATTACTAAATATTAGCTGGCAATTAAGGACTGCAATAAATGTAATAGAAAATGAATGATATCCACAATGATTAATCTGATAATAATTATTTCATATTAAGAAAAATAGCTGCCAACAATGCAAATTTCGTATTTGTAATAAAAGAAAAGACAGAATTGTGTTTATAATAATTTGTAATATAAATTTCAGCAAGTTGCACAAATACAGTCAGCGCCAGTGTTGGATAACTGGGCTGCAGTAGCAAAACTGGGAAATATCGAGAGCAGATATAATGTGCAGCTTGAGTACATCAAATTTTATTTGAGGGACATACATGACATGATTATTTTATCAAATAATAGATTTAGAAGGGAATCAGATATTCGTGAAATATTGTCATATTGGACAATGAAATTAAATTCTTTATGGGAATTGCATAAAAAATCGTTTACCCTTCACAATCCTCAAACAAACCAGCAGAATACAATGCAGGTATAAATTTCATACTTCTTGCACACCATTGCATTCATTAAACTTTGTATACCATTCATTACGATGTGAAGTTCAGTACTTGAAGTAAAGTTCATGATTCAAAAACTTTATGCAGTTTGAGATTACGCCTGGATATCTTATAAACAATGAAGTGTGATTTAGGATAGAACGAATATTGCAATACAGTGTAAGCTCGTCCACCGATTCGTATTTGAAATCAAAGAAATTTTGCATTCTTCTCCTAATAGAATGGTTGTGATACCTAAATTGAGGAGAAAATTTTATTATTGGCGCCAAAAGTCATCAAATTTTACGAAAATTTTGCAAAAAATACAAGAGCAAAAATATTTATTGCTGAATTCAAAGAAAGAAATGAATGTTATTATGGGGACAGTCATACCACATCAGAATTCAACTTGCAGCAATCCTACAGGCAGTGAGATTCAGGTTTGAATCAATGTTACTTTCGAGAATACAATGTAATGATAGTACTACTAATACTATGACAAATTTGAAATAAAAGTAGAGCATAACAATGTGTGATCAGAAAGCGTATATCTCAGAAGTATTTTTATGCAATATCAAAAATGTTTTGTTTTTTCTTCAGTTCATCAAATAATTCTTAGAATTACAAAGCAATAAATATCAGATTTTTTAAAATTTTGCTATAAATTGAAGTATTTTGCATTTTTAAATTGCTAAAATATTTATAATTGCAAATAATGAATGATACAATTGTAGGCGAAGACAGCCGATTGTAGTAGATTTGAAAATGAAAATTCCAGCAGGAAAATTGAAGAAAAAAATGGGCAAAAATCGGATGAATTCGAGCAAATGATAACAGCGCTAGAAAACGCTCTTATGAGTGAAATAAGAGAATATCCCGCACACTGGTTGAATCCATTTGAATATAATCGTAATAATTCTCTCATTGAATCTCAGCATCGTCCACCCAATGTAAATCGTGAGGTCCGAATCGATATTGAATTTACGGTAAGATACAAAAACATTACTTGGACAATATCTCTAAACTTCATTACATCCATTATTAATTAGTAAATTTTTTTTCAGGATTAAAACCGATCAGGAGAAGTCTCTAATTTGTTAAGGTGATATCAGTATTTGAACCACAAAAATTTAACTTTTGCAGTTCATAACTATTGAATATTGAAAGTGTTAGTTTCTCGTAAAAATATTTCGTAGAACTCATTTCTGTTCGCATTCTGTGCTTCTTGCAAGATAAAATAAAAACATGACATAGTAGATAATTTTAATAAAACTTGGCTTTATTCAAATTTTCGGGACGAATAAAGCTTACTGTTGTTCTTGCTGTTTACATAATGATAAATGCTTAAAATTAATATAATTCATTTCCTTAAAAAGTCTGCGATAACTAAAGTAAGAGCAGTTACGAGTATAACAAATTATTTGGATGCAGTAACAAGTACTGTTCCTTTTAGAGGACTGTAATCTCAGTCTATAATAGAAGAGATTTTGCCACAAATTAGTAAAAATTTACAAATAATTTTGAAAGTATAGTTATATTAATACAGAGAAACCTTACAAAGTATTATTTTCGTTGCAATATTAAAATATATTTAAATTAAATATAAAACTTACAGTACTATTTTCTGGAAAATGTTCATCTAGAAAATGAATTTCTCAAAGAAAAAATAATTAAAGTATGCAAAACTGGAAATCCTTCTTTAAATATCAAATATCTTAGCAGCTTTGCAGAAATTAATTTCAAAATCAATGGAACCTTTACTTATATGGACATTATTAAACTCATTATACTAAGCAATTTCCAAAATACTTTAGCAACTTGACAACTACTACTGACTTAATAAGATTTCTTCTGGAGTATTCTTAGTTATCAGCAAAGCGAATGCTTTTTTCCATGCCCATTAACTGAAGCATCCAGAATCATTGCTGTTTTTCCTGCGCTTTTCGAGCAGTAAAGTCTTGCTACTGTTATGATACTGAATTGATTGGATGTTGATCTTTACATGGATAAATTGCGAGATTTTGATTGCATTTCACCGTTGTGAAGACAAATTCCTGTTTAGATTTTTATGAATTGAATGGATTGTTTTTTGTAAAGCAATAATTATTGCATGCTAATTACTGCTCGTTTGTACACATAATTTGCCTATTTTGAAAAGTAGTCCATAAGTCATTTGCATTTCAATACTTAAGTTAATATCTGTTATTAACTTAAACTGTCTAACTTTTCATTCTTTGTTGTCTGGAAACTGAGATGAAATTTATAAATATAATTTAAAAAAGTATACCTTCAAAATTCGCTATATTGAGAATGTCCTCACTCGTAGTCATAATTGCAATCGATTCACTAAATTTCATTCACAAAAATCTTATTTGTTTGTTCGTTCTTTTTACGTGAATTGCAAGTTTGTCATTTTTCGTGCAGCTGCTTTATTTTTCATCCTCAAACGCATTTAAATTTGTTTTCAGTTTCATCTAATTTCGATTGATTTCCCACGCATATATATAAAGCAAAAAAATCTCTTTTTTTCACGTTAGACACGTTAGACATTGAAAACTATTTATTCATTTACATAGCATGGAATTGCATGCACTTAACTTTGATCTAACTTCCAATTTTCTGGAATTTCAGAAGTTTCAAGAAAATTTGCTCAACGTTGTTAACGAGATCACTGCATTTTTATTCTTTAAAGTCTATAACAATTAAAGCTTGAAAGTAAGCAATTGGTACTCTTTGACTTTAATCGATGAGAAGCTAATCAATCAAAAATAGTTAAGAATTGAATAAATTATTACAAATTTAATCGATAAGTCATTCAATATTCAATACTTCAGAAAGACATATGCTTGTACTGGTAGAGTATACTTTCTTACAAATGATTTATGGTGGCTTGGCTTCTTTTTTTCCTTGGCCATTTTCATATTTTTGTCCGTTCGTATTTTTATTTATTCATGTGGAATGATTGTCGTAATTATTATACTGCATCAGCAAGGCTTAATTTTTTGCTGCTTTTGAAGTGACTACTTTGTAATATGTAAATTTTTATTCCTTACAGGTAGCTTAGTAGTACTGTGAGCACATTTGATGGCATTTGAATTAGCATATTTGCGCAATAGTACATTACTTTGATTAAGCATTGCGTCTATGGATTTATTTCTCATAAAATCTCTCAGACACAAATATATACATTTTTAGTATTTGAAGATTACTTTCGTCAAAATTACTTTCAAGAAACTGAATGTGCTGATTGGATTTCTCTATATTCTCCACCAGTGCATTTCAAAAGAATAGGAAACAATATTTAATAACCAGATATGACGTTAAAAATATATGCTCATTTATGTTTTAATCGTTAATTGAATATCCACTAAAAACAACAAAACTATATATATATATCTAAATATAGTTTAATTTCTGACTTAATTAGTCCGACAAATTATTCTTTAAATTCACAATGTTGCCAAGGAATGCCTGATAATATTATGCATGCATATAGATAGTCGAACTAATTTTTAATCTTGTGCTATTAAAATATGAATAATTTTGATTTGTAAAATAGGATGAACAAATAAAAATACTGTGTAATAATTTCTAGCAAGAATAATTAATTAGAAATTAAAAAATTTTTTTAAATGATAAATATTGAGAAGTATTTTTTAGCATATTTCTTTTAATGTAAAAGAAAAATATATATCTAAATATAGTACATTTTCAAACGATAGAAGAGCTTTTTCAGTTTTTAATATCTTCTTGTCGTTCGTAAATTATTCATATTTGTAATCGGTGTTGCTGTTGTTGTTGAAGTTACTGTACGACTGTTGCAGTATGAAGCACTCCAGTGAAATATTAAAAGAGTTAATCTAAAAAAAGAATATACAAAATTAAAAATATTATTTTTATAGACTAAAAAAAACTGTATTCGTTAAATACTCAGATCTAATATCAATGCTTACCCATCAAGCGCTTGTGTTGTAATCCATGCCATTGTGCTTGTTGCAAAAAGCGCCCAAATATTATCAAACAAGTATTCATTAATATTTGCTATCGTATTATATGTTACGTACAGAGCTCCAACAATGCATGACTGTAAAGATAGTTTTTGAAACAATTAAGTGTAGTAATAGTATTTTAAACACGTGTAAAGGTTCATGGAATAACTTCTGAATTGACAACTTAAATGAATCAGAAAATGGAATCGCACAAAACTTCTCAGAAATTTCATTTAAGAATTGATGAAATCTTTTCAAAATTTTAGTGATTCGTTTTTACCACCTCAAAGTTAAATATGACATTTCTTTTTCAAATTTTAATGGTCAATTAATTACCTGCTTAAAAAACGTCACGTCATGTTTTTTGATACTATTTGTCGTACGTCTGATTGAATTATTATTTCCCATTTTCTAAAATACAGTAAAGTAGCTAATATTTTAGACTTATTTAGATTTTCATTGTTCAGAAAAAATTTTGTTAAATTTGAATTCTAACATTTACATAAATGAAAGTGTTAACTTCTGCACGACTTCATTACAAACACAAATTCAAAATTAACCATTTGTCAAAAAAAAATCAACTTAGTATCCGCGAGAGTTTACTTCTGAAAGTCAAGCTCACTTTCTGATATTGTATTAGTTTAATAAAGGTCACGAGGTCGAAGATTGTCATTGCTATCACAGTTGCAATGGACACACTCGAGTCGATTGTTGTACAGATCTTTCCATAAGGGGTATGTCCATGTGTCCAGCCGTAACTTGAATTTTGATGAAATAAAAAAGAACATTCAGCTGCAAATAATATCCTCAAAGCACTCAACAAAAAGTTGAAAGAATGATCTAACGAGTTCACTTGATTCTAAGTACCTGAATGGCTAATATAATAAAAGCTTGATGCAAAGTACACTCTTAATAGCACTTAGTATGTTGTTACAAAATTCAATTAAAATATCAACTGCTTGCTAGCTATTTATTTCATTTCAATGTGAAATATTAACTTTTCTAACACACAAAAACCAAATAGTTAATTGCGCTTGAAATTTCCACTGAACTGAATTTGAAATTTGAATTTAAAAAACTAACAATCATTGATTTTTCGTGTTAATCATTTTATCAATATTAGCAATTCAAATATTTTTCTTTGAGCTTCAGAACTGTGTTTAAGTTTTATAACTCTTGTGCTAAGAAAATATTCGCAAGCGTTGAGTAATTAGTTCACGTTTTCGGTTTTCCAAATTTATCAGTTACTTATTAATTGCATTTTGACTAACTAACGATGGAAATGTCCGATACAGAAAAGTATTCCAATGATCCATGAAGTGATCGAAGCTAAAACAGCTTTTGATTGAGACCATAACTGACTGTACTTTGTGACGTATACTAAAGCACAGTATCTGTTGATGGCAATAAGAAGATGAATGAAGGAAGAGGCGTACCAAGCTCCATTGATAATAACACCAACGAACCGCGTGCTCAAAGATTTCGGCGACGTGAAACCTTCTGAATTGCTGAAATACACAGAATACTCATATTTAACTGATGAAACTGAAAAAAGGTAGGATTCAATCACAGGCAAACTTTTCTGTCTATAGTAGATTAACAAAAAGTCAAAAGAATAATTTTTGAAAAAACGTTGGCGACTTACAAACTAAGAACAATAGTGCTCCAAACAAAAATCAAGAGTATAATCTTCAGATTACATAGTAGAAAACCACTGCACAATACCCCAAACGCGTTGCGGAATTGTGCATTCGTACGTGTAATATACAACGCTATGCCATTTGTTATCAGACCGAAAATTGATGCCTTTAAACAATACTTAATAAAAATAATTAATTGATTAAGTTGGAAACAATTGAAAAAATTTTGAGCAGAGGCTCGACTATAAATGTAAAATTAATCCCGTCAACTTCAACGAAAATAAATATTTCTGAATTTTAACAACGACTTGAAATAAAGTAGTAAGAAAAAGTGTAACCCCAGAAATCCATGCCAATGCAATGTTGTCTGCAGCTTGTCTGTCAACAACATTTGTCGCCATATTATATAAACTATAGAAGGTTGAACTGTTTACTAATATAGTTTGAATGACAAATTTTGATTATTCTAATGAATTCAATGGATTTTTAAATTGGATTATATTTGAGCAACTTTTAATCGCTGTAATAATTTTGAGCAAATAAAACTAGACCATTTCTGAAACTGAAACTATAATGAGAGTGATTATTTGATTGGAAATAATTTTTTTTTTAAAACTGGAATATTGTAGCTAGAAAAAGAATCATAGCAAGTGAATTATAACGTACTTACCTTGATTATTAAAGCAAAATTTGATAAGGACAATAAAAATGTACTGCTACCCGTTTGATTTACTCCTTGCAGGGAACAGCTTAATGAAAACGGAATTAAAGCTGTTCATGAGAATAAGTAAGTGAGAACAAGTTATTATAATTTTGTTAGTTAGTAGTCTAGAAAAAAACACACCCATAGTAAGTGAATTATTACATTTTATTCATAAATGGATGCATGCATAGAACATAAAGGCATGCATATAGCAAAAAGTTATATGCATACCTATATGTGTCCATAATAGGACTTTATGACTACTTTCTAAAATTGTTTTTAAAAATTGAAATTCACTTCAGCAAATTAATTTTTATTTCTTGACAAATTTGATAGTACTGTACAAACTATCTGTCTCACTTGTGCTAAGACTAAAGAAATTGATGCGTTTTCATTTGTTTGTTTTCTGTAAAGTTGAGGATTAGTTTGTTCTACTTCTTAGCAAGCATTATTTTCGATAAATACTTGAATATTTTTTGAATCATAGAAAAAAAAGAGCAAAAATCTGATAATCACTTGAAACTTGATACAGTTACTTCTGTTTCAAGCAAAGGTACTCTTTTAAGAGGAATAGATTTTCTAATTGTTAATAAAATAATTCTTAAAGCTACCAATAAATATAGCAAAAAATTATTAAAAGCTATCTATATATGGTATTTTTTAAGTAATTTAAATCAAAGGATCTGCTATGACTTACTTATCCTCGTTAATGCCATCAAACTTATTACATTTTTTACATTCGTCACTTGCAGTAATTTTTAAAACAAAATTTTATTTGCTTGTAATATGAAAATGATTTCTAGTTATGTAGCTAAAAGTCATATTAATTTACAGACTATTTTCAAATAGCATTAATGATTTCCCCAGAGCTTACATTATTTTTTGCTTCGTTTCAAGAATGCTTCCGCTAAATGACATACTATTTTTTTCGTGCACTCACACATACAGTATTTAAGATTTTTAATGACTATGAATTTTCAAATCATAAAAATTTTTTTCCTATATTTAAATAGACATATTAAAGCAAGTTTGTAATAAAACTTCAAATTAAGAGAATAAATTTAAAAAAAAAAAGATTTATAAATATATTCAAATACCTTATTTTTACATTAAATTCAGCATACAAACTTAAAATCATAAATACTAGTAAAGCTTTTGCTATTAATTTGCATATTTTTTTAGTTTGAAGCAACAAATTTTATTTTATTTCTCATACTGACAAATTAACAAAGACAAATTAACATTTCCTGCGCTTAGATTTCACGTATTTCTTCTTTCTTTCGCTTGATTTATTTTTCGCGTTTACTTTTATAATTTCTTCGTTTGCTGTTAATTTGTTACTGTTCTCACTTCAACAGGCGTTATGGAATGCACTTTAATACGTAATTTTGAGTCGATGTATATGGTGGTCGCAAGTTTCACGTCATGACTGTTACCTGACCAAATGCTTAGTACACGACCGGATGCAAACATAAAATAACCCTTTTGATATGGCGTATGAGTACGTATAATTAACTCAACTTGCAACTGTTTTATAAGTTCTTCTACAGCTTTTGCACCAAAGAAATGACCTCGACTTCCTGCAGTGATCACGAGTGATGAAGTTTATACTGTGATTTTTCAAGCAATAAATTTAAAAATTTGAATTTACTCTAACTTTTGAAAGTTTTTTGAAGTGTGTAATTACATAATAAACTTTTAATATTTCCATCACAAGCATCTTCATGGAAATAAATATAAATGGAAATATGCTGCATTTAAATGTATTAAAATAGGTTTCAGTGAATTAATTTTATCAATTTTTGATTTCCTTCATTTTAATTTTTTTAATATTTTAAGAAAGAAATTATTTATTTTCTGTTAAATTACATCAAATTCGCAATATGAGATTGACAGCAAATAATTAAGTAAAGACTTAGTTTGAACAAGCCTAAAAGATTCAGATGTCAAAAGCCTTTGTGAATAACAAAAGGATAACAATAAAGTTGAAAAAAATCAAAAATTTTACTTAGTAAATAAGAACAACGGAATTTTAATAATTTAAAATTTAAAATTTCAATATTCATATAAAATAAAGACGATATTTTCATATTTAATATAAGTAAAAACCTTTGATTTTCTGATACATTTTTATACCACTGCTCGGTGCTCCAAATGCTAAATCATAAGGTATCCTACATTTCCAACTCAGAGGTGGTCTGTCAATATTCTTTATTGCATTCAGATTCTTTAACTACAATTTTAATTTTTTAGTTTAATTTATTAACAAACTGATTTTTTAGTTCAAAAATATCACTTCACTTTATTGAGTGACTTTATATCGGAATTACTTTAATAGTTTTTGTAACTTTCAGTTTTTGTAAAATTATTGAGGACTGAAGAAAATATTTAATGAATAACTTTGGAACTGATTCCTGAATGCACTGCTAAAATTTTATTTCCAACTGTTGCAGCTATTGGCATTTCAGAGCAAATTCTTGTAATGAAAGCTGATAAGACGGTATTTAGTTTAACTGGAAAGCGTTTTCGAATATGAAATGGAAAAAATTCTGTTGCGCCACGGATTATGAATACATGATGGGGTGTTGTTATCTATAATTTCCCATTGTTATTGATATAATATCAGTATTAAATGATAATAATAATAAATAAACATAATTACTGTAAGAAATACAATGCAGTTGCCTAAATTAGTTTAGGCGCAATCGCTTGTAATCCAATCTTTCTAACAAATCATAACATTTTATGCAAAATATTTTTGTCTTCTGTGAGACTAACCAATTTTTACAATTTCAATTTCAGAAATTCTTTAAAATTTGAATATCAAATTTTGACTTCAAAATAATATCCAAAGAATTGCTAATACTTTATATGCTGCAAGAAAAGCAAGTGTTTCAATAGATTCAGCACATTCTTGATCGATTATACCACCAAGGAAAAGGTATCGACGCCTTGGCGGATAACCATATAATTGAAACCAACGTAGTAAATCAGAATATCTAAGCTCAACGAAGTGATTGAACATTTTAACGATCAATCGAATTTTTATCATTATCAGTCAGTCTTACAACAATTCACTTAAACATGTCAGCATAGTTTAAAAATCTTCGCTAGTTTTTATTTCTATAAATACTATGTCATGAATAATTTCATTTCGAATGGAATAAGCAAATGCTTCGAATATTCTAACCGACCGCGAATTTCGCCAATCACAACAACATCAGCGGGTATTTCAAGCAATGAATTCTCTGTGCGAAAGATCTCACTTAGCTGTAAAGATATATAAAAATATAAAATCAAATAATAAATGAAAGTATATCTATAATCTAATCAAATCAATATCACAAGGAGGTTCTTCTTCTTTTCTGCATTATTGATTCTGGCGCTGGATCGTGTACCTTTGGTTTTACTTGTCCCGCGCAAAGATTTGTTGTACTGATCTTTTTCGCACTCCCTCCTCGTGAATATACACATACATATATATATGGAGGAGAAAACACAACAAAGAATTTTGGAAGGTGATAGCCCTTCTCCGCTGCTATTTATGTTGTGCATGAGGTTGCATATTAGGTGCCTAAGAGGTGGCAGTTGCAACTGATCAAGGAATGCACATAGCAAACCATTTATACTTTCTGAAGGATCTCAAGATTTTTGCGAGAACAAGAATATTACGAAATCTATGGCTGAACAGGTTCAGAAGTTTTTTGATGTGGTTGCACTAGAGGTGTATCAAGAAAATCAGCCACTAACACAGAGGTATGCGTTGATAAGACGGTGCTATTGGAAGGAACTCAATGGTACAAATACCTTGGAATAGTGGAAGACTTTATCGCAACTTTCACGTGTAGGCTAGTGCACCTACACGTGAAAGTTGCGATAAAGTCCGAGCAGAGATTTTAGTGAGAGCTGAGCGACTAGCCAAAACTGTACGAAATAGCAAAAACTTTGTCAAGGGGTGAATGAGCACCCCATAAGTTTAATGAATTATTACATCGGGGAGCTCAAGCTGGAGCCAGAAGACTTCAAAGCTACAGACCACGGTATCAGACAGCTATTAAATAAATACAGAATACGTAACCAACCTCTGTGCTAAGAGAGATTGTATTTACCAAGAGACCAAGATATCATGACCCACGAAAAGAAGCGACATGAAATATTCCTGATAGAGGTCGGCATGACTATTGAGAGCAGATTGACAGCAATCGAGATCAATAATAGGCAAAACTATGATGTACTGGCTCAGAGAGAGGGTCAGAGATGAACTGCTGGACAAAAATAATTCCGTCTGTGATGACTTGGGATGCGTTGTAGCGAATTTCCATAATCGTTACGAGGAGATCAGTATATCTGATAGTTCTCAAGAAAACGCTCGAAAGCATCTCATTCGATCAACGTCGTTGATCACAAGGACGAAACAGCGGAGATCAGCGCAACAAAACTGATCGAGGGGGGAGTGCAGCGAGAATGCCAGAATACTATCCAGTGTCAGAATCACTACTGCGGAAAAGAAAAATAACCTCTTTGCTCTATTGATTTGATCATATATATATATACATAATCAAATCAATATCACATGAAGATTATTATTCTCAGTGTCACGAGGTCAAAATTAAATATACATAGATGATATATAAGGAGGTTATATAAATTACAAACACTTAATAATAATTACAAGCAATTAATTTTGAAATTTGGATCTTATGTTGTTGTGAATTTTTGAAAGAAATTTTTCTGCGAAATAGATTTTACTTCTAATAAAAGTTCATATAGTTCTGCTCCTTCAATGTTGAAAAATCCTGGTCCTTGTTCAATCATGCGGATTAGAAGACTTTCGAATTTCGTTGGTTCCACACGAATAATCTAAAAGCAGATATCAAAAGCTTGCTCAAGCGTATTCCATTGCTATTTCTATAAGTTTGAAATTTTGTTGGTAGATCAGATCATTCGTTATTCTGTGCGAAATGTTAATGCACCTCTTGACAGAAGCTTGCAATTAATTGAAGATGGAATAAAAATTACAATAGCATAATCAAAGCCAAGTGATTCGTGAACTTCACATCCCATGTAATTCACCGATTGCGTAGGTAATGTGACTTCAGGTTTGTCATCTTCTGCTCGATACTCTGCCATTCCTTTCATTACTTCAGCAAACTCATCGAAATTCAAACAACCATCGAGTGGTTCACCTGTTTTCTGTAATAATTTTACAAAATTTTTCCCACCATAATTGCTAATTTATTTTAAAATATCTGATAAAAATAATCAACTGTTTGTTCGTTGGTGCAACCTAAACAAATTTTTGCATATAAACTTTTTTCTTAATCTTTCAAAAAATTTCAAATCAATTAAAATAAATTTAGCAATCTTCAAAAGTTTTCATTGAAGTATGCTTTGAATTCTATCAATCCAAATTTGAAATAAAATAATACCACTACAGGATCTCGAAATTCTATGTTTTCTGGCTGTAGCAAATTTGCATTGAATTCAGGATTATACTCAATTTTCCTGTATTTACGAAGCTTGCATTCAGTAATTATTGCTGTCAGAATCGGATAAATGATAAAAATCAGAATGACAACGTGGATGATCACTTTTGCTGCTAGTTCCGTACCAGGAAGGAAGTGAAAGTCTCCTTTCTGCAATGCTTCAGTTTTTTATAATTTTTACCACAATATTTGATAACTCTCTGAGATCTATCAAATGTATTATGCAAATTATTACACTTATTTAAAGAATTATTTTGAATACTGTAAAGTATCATTTTGTATTTTACACAGTGAAGTACTAAGTGATTGTTTCAGTTCAACTTAAAAGTGATATTATATAATAAGTAGATCTTTTTAAGTATATTTACTTAAAAAGATAGTGTAAGGATGACAAAAATTTCGACTATGTAAAGTGATTAAAGTTTTCAACTTTTCGTGTAAATTTTTATAATTTGATTTGTTGAAGAATCAAAGCTAACAGTTGCAGCAAAAAGTGGTTCTTCCTCCCAATTGCAATAGTCATTCTTGCAGCACTTAATGTCATGGGTCAAATTCCGTATTAAGCACCAGTCATGTGTTGACAACTCTGTGCATTCCTGAGAGCACATACCTAATACATCACATCGGAAACTAAACTTTATTCGTTTTATTCTGAAATTAATGTTCTTGATTACATGCTAGAGAGCCTTGTTTGTTTAAGATTAAAACAATTCACTTCCAAGAACTTTACACAAACTCTTTGCCATTGAATTCAGTTACTCCCAAGAAGAGAGTCCAACCTAATCATATATATAAGTAATGAATTTAAATAATAACTAAAAAAAGAGTCCTGAATAATATCTGCTATTTTAATGAAATAAATATATTTTTATCTTTTTATTTTTATATAGCTTCTTGTTTACTTATTTCATTTTCAAAGAGTAAATTTAGTTTGATAAAGCAATGCTAATCATTGTTTATTTTAAAATTCGTAGCACTGATGCTATACTCTGATTCAGTGTAACATTCTGATGAATTCATAATTTTATTACTGTATCTGAAAAGTAATTTACTGAGATTCTCGCATCGCAATACACATCCATCTATCGTTGCAATCAAATGGATGATACTCACTGCCGCATTGTATTGCAGAAAGCATTGAAGGTAAAACTGTAAAACTCGCAAGCAAAATGATAGCACAGCCGCTTGCAGACACCATTCTTTGCAAAGATTATATTGAAACTGAAATTTAAACAAATTTCACACCAATTTATCGGTACTGTCTGATAAATTCAAATTCAAATTCACATTAATTTGTTAATTGCAAATAAGTTACTTCATACTTACTTTTTTTAATATTCAATTAGTAGGAATAAAATTCCTAAAATAACTACATATTATCTTTAATGCATTTATAAGCATGCAAAAAGTTTAAAAAACCAAGTAATGCTTTACTTTATTTTATTAACTAGTAATTATTTTAACGCACTGAATAACAATACTCACAAAGAAAGCAATAACTTAGTTTAAAAAATTGGGTAATAAAATGCTAGCAAAATCGAATAAAGAGTAGTATTTAGCACGAAATTACTTACTTCAAATTTAATAATAATAATAAATACTGTAATAAACTGTTTGATTCACTTAATTGCTGCAGATTTTTTGAGAAAAATTTTTTAAAAATTTTATATAAAAATTATAATTTGTATTTTGTACAGAAAAAAATGTAATTAATTTTAAAATTATGCAATATTAAGCAATTATGTGATAAAATTTGCTGAAATAATTTTTGAATTTTTGGTTTGTAATTGTAAAATTGTTACTGTGCTTTTATCACAAATACTCTCAAAATATGTTTTTGTAATTTTTCTGAAAAATTGCTTCATTTTGACTGACAATTTGCATAAAACTTTTGTTTATAGAAAGGAATATTGGAGATAAATAGCAGTGTGCTACTATCACTTTCTGCATATATCAAATTTCACTCAAATCAAACCAAATTAAAACTGAACCGAAATTTATAAACTTTTAGTACGAAATTGCATATTTTCAGAGGCAAAATGTTACTTCGAATTGGCATTTTAGGTCAGACTTTTTTTACTGTTTGATTCAACTTCATTTCATTTTATAACTCATTTTTGATGAATGTAAAACAAAATTTTCAACTTTCAAGCAGTTTAGTACTGTTCATCTTCAATTCGACAACGGCGTGGGCTACAGAAACAAATCGGAAATTAGAAGATGCATTAATGAAGAATTACAATCGAAAACATCGCCCTGTTAAAAAAGAATCAACAACTATGCAAATTCAAATTTATCTCTTGATTGGACATATTGAGAAAGTGGTAAATTTGCTTATACACTTAAATTAACAGAAAATTTGTGGTAAAAATCTTGATAAAATTTTTATAAAGTTTTTTTCTCAATTTAAATATTTTATTTCAAATCATAACAGTAAAATATAATAATAATAATAATATTCACAATAATAATATTCATAATAATAATTCGAACTGATTAGATGAAAAGTAATTATAGGATGAGCATGAACAAACGATGCTACTTCACGGATTAATATGGTCATCTTGGACAGATGAATACTTGACATGGGATCCAAAAAAGTATAATAATACAAGACGAATTGCAATTGAAAGTTGGAAAATTTGGCAGCCTGCTCTTTCCCTTTATAATAGGTTTTGTTTTCATCTCAGATTAATTATTTACATTTAATTTAGAGAGCTTTTCAAAGTTATCCTTCAATATATAATTAATTTAGTAGACTTATTATTTGAAAATTTATGCAAAATATAAATGCCGCATTATTTATTGAACAACCGACAAATTTAAAAAATATTATTTTGATAGTTCATTGCAAAATTCGATTTATAATCAATCAACGTATAAATTTGAAACGTTGACATTACTACTTCAGTGCTCGTGGAAATAATTGGCATTTACACATGAGTGGCCTTCCTGCTTCTGTAAGCAGTGATGGCAAAGTTTGGGCATCTGGATCGTTTAGCTTTCATGTGACGTGCTTATTTGACTTTACTAACTATCCATATGATGAGCAGGTAAATCCAATTCAATTCACTGATTATTTATAACCTAAATCTCATTTACCTTCTAATTCAATCATTTTTATCATGTATATCCATTTATTTTGGTGTGGTAAGCTCTATTTATTGCACTTATGATAAATTTTTCTTTTGACTAATTTTAGTAGTATTTGTGCATTTTAAACGCTTACTTTGCTTTGCATAATTTTGACTTAACTGTGTAAGCTTAATCTTGTTTAGATAATCTAATTAGCTTTTTTCTCCATAACTAATTTTAATTTCAGGAATGTCCAATAGTAATTGCTGATTGGGTTTATGACCTTTCAAAAATAAATTTATCAGATCCAGCTGGAAATAATCAGCTGAACAAACCAGCTGTTAAACTTAGTTATGATCCACTTGATAACACAAATCCCAAACGTTTTGTTGCAGGTAATTATTATCTTTTACAGTTTTTTATGAGTATTTATTCGATGTTTTCTATTCTTTACTATACAAAATTAGCTGCAAATGTTAATTAATATATATTTACACATAAAACAAAATTTTATAAGTAAAAATGCAATGCTAAATTTTTGATAGTAAAATAACTATTTTTTAATCAAACTTTGTAGCAAAAATGGCGCTAAAAGCGATCGTTTTAGAATATAATTAAAATAAATAAACAGTTGAACTTTAAATCGCACATTACAAATGTACAGTGCGCTATTTGAGTTGGCAGTGATGAAAATTTAAATAATGTCCATAAAAAATTGTAAGCATTTTGCTGCACTGCAAATAGTTCAGATTGGAAATCTAAAAGAATCAACATACTTGAGGTCCGGAAGCAATGCTTTATTATTTGTAAAGCAGTTATTAATTTTGTCAAATAAGATGTAAGAACTTAGCAAAATAGAGTAAACAAAATTTTCCTCATGAAAATCTTTCGAGAACTTATACTATGTTGATAAAATTAGGCGGAAATTAAAATTAATTTCAACTTTGTAATAAAAATGTTTTTAAAATGTTCTTAAAATGTCTTTAAAATGTCTTTAAAGATAAATTTGGCCACGAAATCTCTTTTAAGTAACTTTATAGTAATAGCATAATTTAATCATAAATTGAATCAAACGTAAAAATTTCTTGAAATTATTACTTGAATGTTCAATCTACCCTTCACTGGTGTAAGGTTGGGAAGTAAAAGATACATGGCGCCGTCAATGTTATTGGGGACCAACAGGTTGCAAGGATGAACCACCGGAAAGTCAGGTAACTGATTCCTAAATTAAAATCAATTGTGCGGATAATTATGGTTATATAAAAATTTTAATTTATTGCGCAGGAATTTTCTAAAATATTATTGTAATATTAGCCTGATTTTAAACATTTTTAATTCGTGACTGAAAAGATTTTCAGAATTTTAAAAGGTACATATTGCTGATTCCTGTTTGAAAATAGTAAGAAACTCAAAAAATTCAATGACTAAAAGTGGAATAGGAAGGAAAATTTGCTGTAAAAGGGAATGCTAAATAAAAATAAAAGTGCTATATATATTTGTGTTACAGTTTTGTATAAATATGTATAAATACGGTAATTTAGTATCAAATTAAGCAAGTATTCATTTTTGAGTCATTTTAGCCAGAATGGTTTTGGTCACTGATAGAATTTGGTATTCGTATAAAGCGTAATGCACCCTATTTCGGTCTTACAGTAATTTTGCCCACAGTAAGTTAGCTTATTCATTTTCATACAAAAAATTAAGAAGATCAGAAATAATGATGAATTTGGGAGTGACTTTTTTAGAGTGATTCATCTTCGCTAATTTAAACTATACTTTTATGGATGGAAAAATGGAAACTAATTTTTACTGAATGTAAATTTGCAGAATGTTGTTGGAGATGCTACAGTAAACTTTTTACCTTGTGCATTTTTTGGCATTGTAATGAAAGATAACTATTTGGGAGATAAACTAAGTCACAAAGAAATAAAGCAGAAATTTTTTATGAGAATCGATTTGAATTTTTGATTTGGATTGTTTAATGTTTTTAAATTTCATATCAACGTATAAGTTTCTTTTACAGAAGTATTACAGAAATATTTGAACTGATATCTAATTCAGTATTTTAACTAAATAAGTTTAATGTTCTGTTTTTAGATTAGTTGCATAGGATATTTATTGCTTCAATATCTTACGATCGAGCAAAAAGAGATCAGAGAGAGACTTTATTATACTAATTATATGATAAGTTCAAAGTGATTTTCACTAATATTAGCTAAATAATAGTTAGGTATACTCAAAGGTATTTTTCAGCTAATCACTTCCATCTTAACATTAATCGTCTTCTGGATTGATACAATGCCGTTAGCAATAGCAACTACCGTAATGAATATACTTTTACAAGGACTGTATAGCTGGGAACTGATCAAGAATCTACCCCCCGGCAGTGGAAGTATACCGAAAATAGGCATGAAAAATATTACTTTTCCACCCATTTGTTTTCTTTTATTACAAACATATCAAAGATGTGTTGCAACTGAAGAAAACAATACATTGATAAGATTCAGAAGTTTTTACGATAAACTGTAAAGAGTATTCTTAAATGGATTAATCAGAAAATGAATTTAGCAAAATCATTAGCAGTGATATATCCTTCATATGACACGTAATGCAATGTATAAGATAGTAAAATTAAATCAGTTTCACTTTTCAATAATGACAAAAAACAATAGAGTTAAAGATAATAATAATAATAATAATAATAATAAATAATAAAATAATAGTGCAAGATAACTTAAGGCAAAAATGTTTTTTGAGACTTTGTTTGCAGTCTGTGTTGATTTTGCATAAATACAGATGAAAAATTAAAGGTTTTTACTTTTAGTAACTTTCTATGGCTTGAATTTATCACTAACTGGTATTACCTTCATGCTGCATGTCGTAGTTATTTACTTAGACTACATATTACCAAACAATATTGAACTTCCTTTTAAGGTAAGTTGAATTGATCATTCACTTTTACTTTTGAGTCACATTCACAATTATCACAAATCAACGTTTATATCTATGTAAAACTTTTGATTTCAGCCAATGTTTATGAAAAATTATACTTGCATTCTCGTAATAAAATTACTTCTAATGAACTAACTTTCTGACACTTTTGTAATCAGTAAAAAATATCAATCATTTTAGGATGTAAATATTTGCTTCTTTTATAGTTATCGTTTTCAGCTGACTGACATTACAGAACGATTGAAGCAGTTAAGTCCGTTCAAGATTAAAGGATTTTCATTCGACCCACAAAGGTAAACTGTATTTTTTATTTCTGTATAATTTAATTATTTTCATCACTTCACAAATAAGGTAATATTTTTTAAACCACAAATCATTTATTTTTTTTTTCAAAAAGTTTTGCTTCTGGTGTCATTTTAAAAGACTGTTTTATTTTACAAATTTATGAAATTTTTTCCAATTGCATTTAATTTTTATGTTTGTTTTGATAATTTATGCAAACTATGCAAAATACATTCTGCCACTAATTTCGTTTACTTTTCGTTACTGTTTATCTACCAATTATATTAATAAATTTTTGAATTTAAAATTTGAAATCACAAAAATATGCGCCAAATTGTTTTATTTCATAGATATATTTAAACTTTTATAGATATATTTCCCATAAATAAAACTTCACAAATTATGAATACATTTTAATTTGCTTTTCAAAATTTATTCGATCTGTCTGAACGAATGCGATCACAAATAAGAAGAGATCAAATCACAGTATACTTAAATGTTCATTATTATGCTTTTTGATTAAATAAAAGCTGTAATTTTTAACTCACAAATGAATAAATTTTAAAAAGTCGAACGGGAAACTTCTCGGATCCAATCATTTTTTATCAGTGTTTAAAAAATTTTGAAAATCATAGCTGATAAAAGTTCGAATTTAGACTTTTGACTGGAGACTTTGAAGATGAGAGACAAGTTGCCCAAGGCAGTCAGCAGCAACAACTTGATAGTATCATGGCTTTGGATCAAAATCCAACGTTTAGCTTTGCTTTCGAACAAAATAAGGATGGAGAAAATATTGCTTTAGCTGAAAGCTCCGGTAAACCAAATACTATTTACTAGTAATTCGTAACTCAGATTCTTTTACTCGTTTGATCAGAAATTGATCAATCAGTTTACTCTTTTCTCGTTTGTTTTCTTTTTTCGCGTACAAAAGTTTAACTAGTAGTAGTACAGTGAAGTTGGTAGAAGTTTTACTTGTATGGTAAACGTGTCAGACAACAATTTGTTGGCATTTTCTACTATAAATTTTACTTGTATATGATTATGACAAGCAGTTAAGGCTTCAAAATGATAAAGAACAATTATTCGTAAGAAAGTCAACTCGACGAGATTAAAATGTTGTTTATGATTTGTGTGTGAGCTAAACTTGCATGCAAGTACACGTGAACTGACGTTATTAATGACAAAATCTTTTTATGCATAGTAGAAACATTTTTGTATTTTTACTTTTCAAATTTAATCTCGTCGAGTTGACTTTCTTCAGTATTTAAAATTACTGAAACATACTAAATTGCATGCAAAAATGCCCTACGACTTCATTTACTTGTAACTTCAGTCTCGTAATAAAACTGGTGAAGATTTAAGAGATCAAGAGATTAAATAACGGATTAGCTTTAACAATGCTTGTTTATTAAAAAAACAATTCGGAGAGTATAATATCAAGTTCTGTTTCACGTAAAACTTGAAATAAGGACAGCTTTCAGGCGCAGAAGAAACAGTTGCAAAATTGAGAATGGAATCTCACAAAACTAGAATGCTTGAACAGATTTCACGTAAATTAGAGACAAATGAATTAGGACACGTTGCTCAGCAACTGTATATCATACGAAGATTGGTATTTTTTTTATTTTTGGTTATTTACATTATTTCCCTGCCTGTATGTTTATTTTAAAACATTTTTGCCTTCCTTGTAATAAAAATTACCTAAACATTCTTGCCATTCAATTTAATTTTCTACAGCAATCTTTATGCTATGCCAAACTTTCATACCATTTTGTCTGATCTTATTCAGACAGTCTACTTTACTGCGTACAGTTTAGTCGAGATAAAAGTTGTTCTGATCTGCTCAAAGATTATTACCAAGTGTTTTTGTGTCTTCTGATTTGATATTTCATTATTTGTATTTTTATTTTGAGTTTTTTGAGATAAATTAAAAGTTTTAAGAATATAAAAGATTTGTTTTGAACTTTCCACTATATGTTTGTATTTTAAAAAAAATTATCATAACTCTTACATGTAATTCAACAACCACTGAAGGAAATTAAAAAAGATTAATTATAATATAATATTCGAATATCAGAACTTTACAGTATAAATAAAAGTAAAAGCAATGATAAGCATATAAAATAATGAAAGTAATGAACTGCAGTACCAATTTATATTCACTTAATTAATGTAATATGCAAAATTATACATAATCAGTGTTTATATTTTAAAAAAATGTGGTTTATCAGTCCTGCAAAATGCTCGAAAGAACTCAACCTTTCCTCAGTCCTCAATACAAAATAATATGCAGTTCCAAAACTTCCACAGTCTCCATAACTTCTTTAGATTTGTATTTTTATCTTCAAAAAACTCTTCAA